CTTCAAGATGAAATAGTAGAGTCTGGTGATAAAGTGGGACTGCTACTAAGATCTGGAGAGTTGGTCACGTTGTTAATTAAAATTGTGGGGAGAAAGCAGCTTTCTGAAGGAGCAATTACAAGAGAGGATGCAGAGGATTTGTGACCGAATATTCAAGGACACAGAAAAGAGCAATTGGAAGAGACTTCCAGAAGGAAGCAGGCCAGAGGGATGGGGAACAACCTGGGGCTCTGTAGGGTAAAGAAAATGTCAGTCTTTTCTGCCCTTCCACCATCAGGATAGATGATGGATCCTTGCGGTCCTGAATGTATGCCTGATGGCGGGCACCTGGAATAGGGTGTGGGCATAGGTAGATGGGATTCAGCTGAGCTAAGACTGTGCTTTTAAGGGCGGCGTCACGGGGGGACGCCAGCAGCACCAGTAGCAGCAGTAGTAGCAGCAGCAGAAGCCGAAGCCGAAGCCGAAGAGAGCCGAAGCCGAAGCCGAAGCAGAAGCAGCAGAACGAACGCTAGAGAGCCCAGATAGAGTGAAGACTTGCTGGGGGCTGGGAGGTCTGCCAGCCTCCCAGCCCCCCAGCCAGCACCCCTGCCTGCCATATACCCGCTGAACCCCAATAAAAATCCTGCAGAACTACTGAGGACTATGACTCCTCCTTTACCCGGTCTGCATGGGATCAGAAAACCTGCACTGTGGTCCTTCCTGCCCTTACAGGCTCCTAGCGTCATCCTTGGGGGAGAGGATGGTGCGCGACTCAGTTGGAACTGCCAGTGAATTATCAGGTGGAAAGGATGTTGTTGTTCATGGCGCCCTTAGTAACCCTCAACAAACAAAGCAGACAGGGCAGGTGGGGTATGAAGGTGAGTAGTGTGCAGGTGGGAAGATGTGGGAGTATCCAGGGAGGGCTGGGGAGAGGCAGCAAAACTGTTCTAACGTGCCCATGGCCCTTTCTCTCTGCTCTTTGAACTCCTGCCAGCTGGACCCAGGGGTTGCTCAAGGGGAGGCCTAGTAGCTGGAGGCCTGGGGTGAGAATTCCTATAAGTCATCTGGCAATGTCTGGAAAGAAGCAGAAGTTCTTCTGGGAACCCAAGCAAGTGAAGGGCTATTATGTGGCAGACAGAGAAGAAAGGCGCCGAGGCAGTGATTTAATGGCAGCAGAGTAGAGGCATGAGCAGTTCCTTTTGAGGCAGTCCTTCAGCTCACAACCTTCTCCACGAACTTATCAGTGGAAGATGGTCGAGGTCAGTTTTCAGGCAGCCTCATTAGATACTCCACAGAATCAAGGATAGAGACAGGCTGTGGGTAAGAGTGGGGCTCAGCAGACTAGTGTACCCAGCAGGCATAAAGGGAACCCATTGGTGGACAGGACAGTTTATTCATGATGTAGTTATGATTACCTGCTGTGTGTGTGTGATGCTGTCAGGAAGGGAGCAGGATTGGAGAAGCAGGATGCCCACAAGGACTAATTGCAGTGTTCAAAGGGTAGGCTGGCAGGGCTCTGCGCTGGTGAGATCCACTTGAAATGAAGGCCACATCGGATTTGGATAGTGGACAAAAAGAAACCACCCAGTCCGTGGCATTTCTGTCAAATATATAAAGTGAGAGATGAGTCAGGGAGCACTAAGTGAGGATGGGCTGGCTGCCTACGCTAGGCATTCTGCACTGGGAGATGGGATGGGATTGGAGACTGGGGGACTTTAAAGGCAAAAGGAGGATTTCTGTATGATACAGTGGCCATTAGGCCACTGATGGGAATGTGTGTTAAGAGGGAATGTGTGTGAGAGTGACACATGAGAAGGTTAAAATGGCCACAATCAATTGAGAGCTAATAGAATGGATTTTGGGAGATCTTTGCAAAATGTATATGGGGGGGGGGAAGTGATTTCTGTTTTCCGAAGACCTTAAAAACTTATCTTTCCCTCTTAGCTCTCATAGCTTACTGCAGTAAAGTTCCAAAATTCTTACTCTAAAACATTAAAGCAAATGTGTTGAATAATGTCACAAAATAACATGCCGTACTGGTTCAGTATAGGATTAAGTCTTAATCTTTTTCTAGGCTGCTATTACTGTCTTTGGTCAGTGTTGATTTATTTTCATGCTAGTTAACAATACAGCAAGATTATTAGAGGTGGGACTGAAACATTTAGAGCTCATATGTTTGCTTTGCCACAGAAGATCCTCTCCACTGCTCCGTTAGGACACTTTGGCTGTAGCCTAAACCTGCTTGATGTCGATTTATCTCACTGACTTATAAATTCTTTCAAGGCTGTAACTGAATCTTATACCCTCAACTGAGGATCATTGCTTTTTAAAATAGACATATTTGATGGGTGGGTAGAAATGATCACATTGAGATACATTTCCTCTAGTCTTTGTTCCTCTTACTTATGCTTTAATTCATTGTCAAAAGTGACATTTTACTCAGAATGTGAAGAGGGTTGCATGGGTCATTTGGTAGGGAGTGTAGTGTGATAGCTACACTCAGTCTGGTTTGCACTAACCTCAACACTAACCTCAAAGAGATAGTTTACATGCTTGAGGGACTAATGGTTGTGCATTGAAATTGTCCTTGATATTCACAGGACAGGCTGAGTGGTAGGTGCTGCAGCAAAGAGTCAGTGGTTTAGAAGTTAGGTGGCCTCAGTCCCAGCCCTGCACACACCACTCAGAGGTTCTGCTTGGGGGATCGGCCCCCTTGTCCTTTAATCACATGTTGACTGTCACATCTTCAGCATCCCCTGTCTCCACTATGCCCTGAACTTGCTCTGGTTGCCTAGTCTATGTTCTCATGGCACCCTGTAATTTTCCTTCGTAATGCTTACCACAAATAATTCTCAAAGTGATGATAAAAGTGTATCTTTCTCAAGGACAGCACTGTTTATTGGCTTCATTCACCACTGTGTTGCTGTTCCCTAACACAATACCTGATACAAACTATATTCTGGACAAATAAATATTCCCATGCTATCTGAAAGCATTTGGTAGGTTATTTGGGGATCCTAGGAATGCTCAGATTATCTTATGTAAATTAATGGTCATAGCATTCCAATGCATTCCAGGCTATGTGATTTCAGAAAAGTTTGAATAAATTTGGATGTTTTGAAAATAATGTTGACCTGAAGATTTGCTGCTTAAAAAGTTCTTTCATGTATTGTGTTTGGTCTTTGGTGATTTTTACTGGATGATGGAACTTCTTGAGTTTGAGTGGAAATTTACACAACTAATTCTAATTTTGGAACGACAGAAGTGTATAAATATGGGCTTGTTAATTCCCACAATTTAAAAAAAATATTCTCAAAGAAAAATGAATATTCATATATTCTGTTGATTTGATGGTGGAAAAAATACATCTTTTGGGACATCTTTCAGTTTCTTACCCCAATAGAATGAGAAGACACCTGTGTCCTGCTCTGTAATCATGGGATGGGAGGGGGAGACAGTGTTTTAGGACTGGGGATTGCCCAGGGATGCCTAAGAGTGCTCAGGAATAGTTTAGTTCCTATGGTTATGTTTGAAAAATCAGTACATTAAATCTTTGGGCTTTCATCTGTGAATTTTGGTAGTTTACTGTAATCAACATCTTCTGCATTCAGTGAGATGTATGGAGGTGATTTTTGTTCCTGGGCCATGGGTTATGTGGGTTCATACAGTTGCCTTGAATGGTAATGTTTGGGGGTCAGCGAGGAGGAGGATGGGCTCTCTGTGCCCTGAGGTCTGCCTCAGAAGTGGCCCAGAGCCTGGCATCAGGGACAGGGCTCTGCATATTGTTGGCAGGACAGCAGCTATTTACTGAAGGACTGTTAAGGAGGCAGCTTGTGCCAGGTGGAATCCCTGGGCTCTAAAAGCTAATGGACTTAAATGTTAAGGAGGGTTAAATGAGCCTGGGTTGGAATTTGAAAAGATAATAGTCTATTTAATATTAACCAGGTGTAGCGCAAGTTAAGTCCTGGAGTAGCGCTCAGTGCCAGGCAAGCATTGCTCAGATGAGTAGATGGCAGGGCTAACCCATCACTCCCTTGCATCCCTAGAAAAGGGACTTCTTAAATATTTCTGTTACTGTCCATCACCATGTGCCCTCCATGGAGGAGCCTGGATGAGCAGGTGATAACAGCAATAGCCTCTCTGCAGTCTCTTCTCCAACCTTCTCTTCCGTATATGACACTGAAAAGACATTGCTAATTCATTGGAATCTGTTTCCTCATCCATCTCCTGCTCCTTCTATTTCATATATTATCTTAGAAATGATGCATTTATAATTTAGCAAGCACACACAATGTGCCAGGCATATTACATACATTACCTCAAATACTGACAAATAGATGGTATCGGGCCCTATTGTTTTGTACCCAGGAAACTAATAGTCACAGAGCAATTAATTGGCAGAGGTGGCTTTTGAACAGAATTCAGTCATTTTTAAAGTTCATTTTCTGTGTAACAGTAACTAATAATTACAATAATTACTGAGGACTTATGCACCAGGCAGTAATAAACTTACAATGTAGTTGTAAATATCTATTAAAGAAAAGATAACAGAGAAGACAAAAATCAGAAAATTTAAGTAACTTGTCCATTATTATTTGGGTGAGTAGCATACCCCAAATATGACATGAGTTACCCAGTAGGTGTAAACCTTGTAACCCCTACTGAACTTTTGTTGAAATGATCCTCTTAACGAGGTAAGACCAAGTCAAGAGTTAAGACCAAGTATGATTAAAAGCAGCTGAAGGGCAACGTAGGTTGTAGGTTAACTAGAATCAAACCTTCTACTTCTTCACAGAGGTTAACTGAAAATATGATGGTTACTAAAGGGAGAGAGGTAGAGGGATGGAAGGCAAAGGAAGGGGGTCAATTTGATAGTGATGTTATGAGAACTTGGGTGGTTGGCAGGTGAAGCGTATACACATACTGAAGTGTGACACTGAACTCTCACATTATATACATTTGCAGGTGAGTGGTAAACCAATAGAATTTGATTTACAAACCTTTCTCTTTCTTTCCTGTAGGTGTCAACCTCATCTCCTTCAACCAGCAAGTCTTCCGGTATGAATTCCACAGAAACCAAGGTATATGAAGAGTCATTAAGAGTAACTGGGATGGTAGCCTTGAAGTTGATTGCGTTGTAAAGGAAAACAAATGTAGACAAATTGTTGAGAGATGAGTTTTGTGTTCTGGGAAATATAAGTTACGGAATAAACATTTGCTTCCTGACTTATTGGGGGGGTATTTGGAAGCTTGGCTTTCAATTCAGTGTTCACCCCAAACACTATCTGCTCATTTCTACATCTTCTTAGAATAGCTAGAAAAATAGAGTATTTTTGGTCCTATGCTTGATTGAGTTTTTTAATTGTAAGATAATCCAAGTACAGATCTGAGGATCTAAATAAGAACAAAAATGTTTAACTTCTTAGTAAAATGGTTTTATTATTCTAGCCACTTGAAACTAAATATGAGAGGTTATACTGGAAATAAGTGAAACAGAAGGTTATTTGGTTTTTCTGAAGTTTGTTTCTGAAATTTGAGTCATGTCAGACAACATTGTACTGGTAAACCTTTGTTCAGATCTGTTTGGAACTTAATGTAACAATTAGTTTCTGAGATTTCAGAAGGAACAATAAAAGAATGTTCTCAGTGGTGTTGCCACATAAAGTAAGCCTAGTTCTGAGGAGCTGGCTGCAGTGACCTTAAACCCTCTCCTTTAGTTACCATGTCTCAAGGTCTGTGTCTTAGGAATATTCTGAGGTAGGGAATGAAAAAGGGGAGATTTTCAACATACTCTCAACTCATTCTTCTGCCAAGATTCTTCAGTGTCTTTTAAGAGCTACCCTAGCTCCATTATTATTAAGTTGCTTTTCTTTAAAATTACCAACACACTTTTGCTTTTTGTTGTCCATATTACTATTCCATAGGTAGAATCCAGTGCCATAATTTAGAACTCGAACTGTCATTAGTTCTTTTGAGGGATCTGATGGCCTCATCTTGAATTGTAAAAAACATTGCAAAATCTTAAAATATGTGGTCTAAATCTAAGCTCTTGTAAATCAGCTTATAGCATTCATTTTCATCTGGAATTTATTTCTAAAATTGTTTGTTTTTAGTGTTTTGCATCTGATTTCTTATTTCCAAAATATACATTAGCTATGACTGCTTATTTATGCCATGTTTAATTTTAAATTTAAAAAGTCTTAATCTTAAAATAAATTTAAAACTACAGTAGAAACATCTAACAGATTTTTTTCATTGGACTTAGAGTCATAAAAACGAAAGAAAGGCGCTGGAAAGAATTGCCAGAAATATGGGTTTCCTTTTATTGCTCTGGTTTGCATTTGACCCACTGCCCAATTCTGATCCACATACCTCCCGCCCTCCCCATCCCAAGTTCCAGGACCAATGATTATTTTAAGTGTGCCTTGTTTTTCACAGCAAGTGTCAGCAAAGCACTAAGCAATAATCATGAACATTCCTGGCAGTCCTCTGGAACTGCGGGAAGGGATGAGGGGGAGAGAAAAATAGAAAGAAGAGAGGGAGAGACAAAAATGAGGTGCACATGAAGAGTATCCCCAGTGCCTGACTCAGGGCCAGTTTGGCCTCAATTCCCTTTCCTGGGTAGGTGTCATTCACGATTCCACCGATCATCTCGTCTTCATTAACTTTTGGCATTTGGTTGATAACATTTATGGTGGTCTCCTTTTGTAGATTTTTGTGACCTTGATAAGAGTATTTCCTCAAATATTTTGAGCCATTAGAAAAAAATGTTAATTCAAGTAATAACTTTACCACATTCATGTCCTGTTCTGTACCTATAAAATGAAGTCAGTCTAACTCTGAAGGGGAGTGAGGTGTCGAGGTGTAAGTTGTATCTCTCTTGTGCCTGGCACATTCTAATTAGTCATCACGTTGTTGGGTCTAAGATGGAAGATAAATTAAGGTGAGATTCCTGAGAGGCCATGTAGTCTGGGCAGCAGAGCACATGGCCTGGCCTGGAATCCTGGTTCCATGCATACTGCAATGTTGAAAAACCTCACTTTGCTCTGATTTCCTTAGCTCTGTAGATTGGACGAGGATGATAGTGGTACCCATTTACCAAGACTAAGGAAATAAATAAGGTATTAGGCAGTTTCTGCCCCACAGCAAGTGCCCAGCAGAGGGTGGTTGGTACTGGAGAGACAGCAATGCCATGATTGAGAACACATAACCCCACCTCCACCGCCAGAATCCTTGGAAGTTTATGGGAGTGGTACTCCAGAGATACTTACCTCTATGTACCTCAAAGGCTCATGCATGAACTAGGAATGATATCATCATCTCATCCTCATCAAAAAATACCTGTTTTTTATAAGATTATTTTGAGGCATAAGTGAGTTGACACCTGTAAAGTTTAGAATAATCCTGGTACTAAGGGGCAATCAATAAACATTAGTTATTATTGTCAGATTATTATGTTTAACAGCACCACTACCACCAAAAATAAATGAGGGAAATGTAGGGATTACTGATTAAAATGTGCATCTCCTTATAAGTTGCTTGCATCTGTGAGCATATATTCTTAATTGTATTGTAGATTTATTCCATGCAAAATCTTGATTGCCAAATTACAAATTAGAAGCTATTAATAGATTCAAATCACTACAGTGCAAGCTGGCCTGTTTTTTTTTTTTTTTTTTTTTTTGTTGTTGTTGTTAATCATTTAATAAAGTGTATTTGTATAAACTCAAAAAAGCATACACAGAAACCGTTAACAAATCCAGTTTAAAAGGATCCAAAGTATACAGAATTTCTTTGGAGACATGTCTTTAATCATGACATTCTTTCCTTCCCAAAACAATGAAGTGTGTTGACATAACATGGGTTTTCCTAAAACAAGGAATGTATCTTCATTAATGAAACACATCAATATGATAAATTTAGAAAATATGTAGTGTTAACCTCTTCACATAATAGAATAAAATATAGGAGTTTATGTTGATACCACCAGCAGAGAAAAAGAAAAAAATAGAAAAAATTAGAGCTGATTTTTAATCTTTGAAAAATTACTAAATCATTTAATTGAGCTTTTTTTCTACTTTGTCTGTTAAGAATGCAGGTGTGTACTTAATGAATTATCTTTTTTGAGATAGGTTATATAACCCTTGTTTAGGTCAAACTCTATAAAATGTCCCATCAAAGATCCTAAATCATAGGAATCCTAAAGCATTCCTATAACTTCAAATTTGATTTTTATGTTTTCACTATGCAATAAAAGCCTGCACTGTTTACAAGTTGTTTTGAGATTATATTGACAAAATTTGATGGAATTTCCGACTATTCCTTTGATCATAACCAAACATTAGAAATGTAGGTAGATAAATATTGCTCAAGCAACTTTTACACAGAGAAGTAAGAGAAAAGAAAGGAATCAGAAATTAATTTTGTGGCAGGTTTGGTTTGTCCCACTCTCTGAAAATGGAATGCTCCCGTTTGGTTGGTTATTTTTTTGGTAGGCTTATTTTTGCAGTCTGGGAATGTTCAAAGATTTTTCCAATAAACTAATTGTAAGAGCATTTCCAGACCCCAAAAAATAATGAATCACATCGTCCCAAACAGGAGCATTCCACTTGCAGATAGTGGGGCAAACCTGTAATGAAAATCTCAGATTTCCCACTGAAAAAAAAGTAAACCCAAACTCTGAAATATTTGCCTGAGACCTTAGAATTTCAGCACCTACAGTTTGTTGGAAATGTATGCATGGAGTAGATGCAGTCGATGAATAGAGTAGATTTTGGTATAAATAGAAACACTTTAACTGTTTATACATGTTACCTATTTGCCTATCCCATCAAATAAATCACACTTGGGGCTGTGCTCTTGTATTAGGACATTCCAGTCAGCAAAAAGATGGAAAGAATGCATTCGCCTCACAAGAAAAGGCACAAAAAACAGGTGATGTGGTTATTGTAACAAAGGACATTTCTTTTTACTAATGGTCACTTTCGCTGCTTAGCACGAGCTAATCACTGCAGTTCACAATTTCCTGTAGTGCTCCGGCACATCACCATCTTCCTGGTAGGCTTAGTTATCCATCTCTCATTCTGGCACTAAAAATAAATTTCATTGCTTCCTCCATTCTCCATTCTGTCACCACCCTATTGTTTCACACTGTCAGCAGAAACTTGTGGTGAGTATGTCACTTATGAAGGGATGTATTGTGTTAGTGACTTTAGAGGTCAAGTGTTTTTATTTCTTTTGCTTATGCGTTAGTTAACAATTTCTGTTGTAATAAACCTTTACCTATCTTTGATATACATATCAAGGTGAAAGATATAAATTGTGATCCAGTTAGTATGAACAGAATATTTATTAGTGTGCATAAAAGTTTAAATCTGAAGTTACATTCCAAGATATATTTAACTTGTAAAGTTTATAATTACATCAAAATCATCTTTTAAGCTTCCTTAGTTGAAAATATATGATAATGTTTGTAAATCATGTCCACTCTTCTTCTGTCTTTCCTTCCTTCCTGCTTCTGAGTTTAGGGTGTAAAATCAGAACCTGAAAAAAAGTCACAGTCAACTAAGGTAAGTGACTTAAGTCAACTGAATAACTACGAAATTACTCGAATTCTTGGTGATATACTGAATGACCATTTTCCCCCACTGGTGCTATTAAGTGATTAAAGGATTTTTGTAGCTAATTTAATTAATTTTGGATCACTCTTTTGTACATGATTACATAGACTATATAGAAAATAAATTCATATATTTTTAAATTATATATAGTTATATATGTTTATAAATATATATTAAATTCAGAAATTGTTAAACTAATGTCTGACATTTGTAAGCAAAAACAATATATTTTAGATGTCATTTTATGCAAGTCTAGATTCTTGTTATAGGCAAAATAATTCTTAAAAATATAAGCAACAGGAATAAAAGATGAAAAGCAAAGGATAGTAAAATTGAACATCAAGACTATGGTCTGTGGAACCCATACCTAAGTAACTTAAAGAGGATCATTTTTCCCAAGTCAGCTGGGTTTATCTTCACATCTTATCCTGGCTGGTGGACCTAGTTCTCAGTCACTTAGGAGACAGCTCCAACTTTCCCTGGACTCAAGACTGTCTAGACTGAAAGACGGTCTGTGCCCACATGGGGGTGGAGGCCAGGGTGTCTGTCTGTGGGAAGGCAGCTGTTTCTCCTCAGTAAGGTGCTGCACTTTATTTCTTTCAAGCACATTTAAGCAAATACTCAGATAAGACTGGATGGTTTCCTGTGGGAAAGCAGAGATAATTTGGGCTGCGGCATTTTAAGTGAAGGTGAGGGTGAGGCCAGCTGGGTTAAAGGTGAGGCTTATCAGATTTTAGGGAAGGCCTCTTGTGGCCCCTGAGGATGGCAATGCATAGTCCACTGTAGAAGAAAAATTCAGAAAGGTAGCAATAGTCTTCTATCGCATTTTCAATGTTTTGGCTTATCTACCAATCTAAAGTGAGTTCGGGTTTCTGGCAATACCATCATTTCTGTTTATAACAGAAACGATTAAATGTCAATCATTTAGTTGAAGAAACTATAGAAACTTAAATAATTTAGTTGAAGAAACCTCACCTGCTAACAGGTGATTTTAAAAATTCATTTCTACAGTAGGATCCCTTATCAATAAACCCAGTGGTTCACAGTGATCAGATCTCTGTGGATGGACCTGTATTTACCAGTGATCTGTATGAATTGTGAAGCACACACAATAATTTAGAGATATATACATGTTTGAAAAATCATTCCAGATAAAATACCAAATTTTTTTTGTATTTTTCTGATAGTTGTCCTTACCAGACTCTTGGGTAGGATTGCTGTTAACCAGATAGTGCATGCCCACTTAATGTGGGCCTTTCCCAAGCGAGGCGGATATACTAATTGGGATTTTCGATACACTTTGGAAATATGAAAACAATGTGACTCTGTGACTCCAGTGTAATTCAGATTGTCTTTTGAAATTGACAGCCATCTGTGGTTCATGAGAAGAAAACCCAAGAAGTAAAACCAAAGGAGCACACAGAGGTAAATGATAGGGCCTTGGTATCATAAGATGAAGAGTGTGTGTGTATGTGTGTGTGTGTGTGCGTGTATAAAATTCTGAATTCATCACAAGATCTAAGTGTCACCAGCAATGGCTGGTATTTGTTTTTCTGGAGAAAAGTGGTGCCACCATATGGCAGTATCAGGACTTGCAGTTTACTCATGTAATTATGAATTTGGGGAAAAAGATTTGCATTATTTCGATTTTTGTATATACAGTGAAATTCTGTCACACTAATTTAATTTCAAATAATTTGAAGCTATATAAAGTATGTGTTATAAACCGTTTCCACCATATAAAAGTATCAGAATTTGCCATCTTATTTAACAGTATGTTGTATTGTGTGTTTGTTTCCAGCTGAAAAGCCATTCCAAGCATGGATCAGATACAGGAAGCAAGCTTGCTCATAGTGAAAAAGCATTTTCTAAATCAAGTGAGCAGCCAACTTCAGAGAAAGCAACAAAACCAAAGGTAAATAAAGCAGATTGATAGCTAGTAAAACAGTAGTATCAACTAGGGACTAAGGTAAACATTTGTGCATGTGGTGATTTGTAGAGCTATGCTGAGTCTACCCTGTATTGTAAGGCTCTTGTTTTACTGGTTATGCTAATCATCTTGTAGAAACATGGGCCTGGTAAAGTCCTAAGAAGGGCATCAGATGGGCCTAGGGACATTCCATCCAGTTCTCCCAACTGCCTAGCAGTTCTCAGTTGTGACTGCAAGGAAGCAGGTTCTGGTATCTCAGACATGACACTTTGAACTGAGGCTGCCTCCTGGACCCCTCTCCTGGCTGATCACAGGGACCCTGTATGATCTGCTTTGTGTGTGGAAGTCTTAAACAATTTTACAGTCTTGTTGAAGAGGTGAACTCATGGAACCCAAATGGAGAAATAGATTCCATATTTCTAGAGCTAATGGGAGTCAACTATTAGAATGCTAAATATTCTTGGAAGGCAAGAACTAGGCCTGCTTGCCAATATAGTTTATATCTGGAATTGAAAATTTGTGCCCCCCCACTTAAATGCAACACATGTGTGTTTTGTTCAAATCTATATTGTTTGACTTGGTGGTATTATTAAAATGATTTTTAGTTAGCTGCCAACAATTAAAGTCAGAAAAATTCACATAAAATTGTGGCTCCAATTTGCACCTGGAATATATGCTCCTGTTAACTGCAGCCTCTACCTGACCTGCCCCACCTACTTGTGTTACCTGCAGGGACTCTAAGCTCTTAGGTCCAGCTTTATGAATCTGGTGGGCATTACACCCTTCGCAGTGGGTATAGCTAGCCATTCCACTACAAGGTGTCCACGGGGTAAACTGTGTCAGTATGCATGCATTATTTTAAAAATCCTCTTCCAAAGATGCTTAGTCCTGTAAATCTTTTGCCCTCATCCTTAGACAAAATCACAGGACAAGCTTTCTGCTGATAAAACAAGCATTGTTGCTGGTGTAGCTGCAGCATCTGACAAAACAGGAGACAAGGTGAGCGCACATCAGCAGACACAGGGTGTCTTTGGGCCTGGTGCTGAGTAGCTGTCCCTATGAGAACTGAATGCTGATGGCTCCTGGACTTTCTGTCCTTTTCTCACTAACCTTTCAGATCTGGTGCTACCACACTAACTTACCATTTGGTAAAACTGAACACTGTTTATCAGTGCAGTTCTGTAGAGGAGTATGCATCTAAAGGATTTAGAGTGAACAGGATGCCAAAGCTGATTTTATGTTAACATATTCAATGAATAGTTATTGGGCTTATACGGCGTATAAAGTCTGGTGTCAGTACCAAGAAAATTAGCATGTCAGTTAATTTAGATCCAGCCTTCAAGATGTATAGGTTTGAAATTAAGCAAATGAAAGTGCCATGAGCCTTTGAATAAGCTTTACTATCTGCTTTTAGTAGGCATAAGTCAGTGATGACAGCTGCAGGAATTGATCTGGGAGGTCTCAAAGGACCCATCCCAAACCACCTCAGGACAGAGTCTATGTCTCCTGCTGACTGGTTATGGATCAGTCTTTCTTAGACTCTTTGAGGAGCTCCTTCAGCTAGTAGCCTGGAAATGTAAGACATAGCCTACCACTTCTACCTAAAGCAATACAGTTTGGAGCTACGTCTCCCTAGAAATAACTTACTTCTCTTGAAGGCACAGGTTCTGAAACAAAAAGAAGATGGAGATGACAATGGGGGAAGAGTAGTATATATCCATTTCTCTGCTTCTTAAAATGGGAAATATATCCCCCGTAGGCTACATAAAGTAAGTCATAGGATGAAAGTATGGCACGTCTCTCCTAAACATTCATTTCTCTCAGATTTTGAAAATAAAAGTTTTTTACTGAAACTAATTCAGATAGCTATCCAATGGGGTAATGGCAACATTTATATAAACTGTTAGGTAAAAATACCCAGTTCAACTTAAAAAATACTTTTCTCACAGGAGGCCACTTATATATAATCTTGAGACATTCTCCGCCACCCCCCTCCAGCTCTCTTGTATTGATGAGAAAGTCCTTAGAGAAATGGCTTGAAAAATGAAGAGATTTCAGGCAAAGATTTGATAGAGTGGATTTTAAAACGTCATCCAAATGTAAAATTTTATGCGTCATACAAGTTTAGCCAGGGTTATCAGGAAGTCTGAACAATAAAATTGGGAGAGGCTTATGGACTCTGGTGTGCTGACTTGTACTGGGATTTGTGGCAAGTCATTTTACTTTCCTTGGCTTCTGATTCATCGTCCATAAAATGAGGTGACCAGATCTGTATTTATTTCAGTATGTACCATGTTTAAAGCTCTGTGGTCTAACTGCAGGGCACTGAGCTGCAGGCTGGCCCTGTGAGGAGTGGGGAAGAGACAATTCATGGAAGGTTAAGAAAGGCCCTCGTGAGCTCTGTGATGAGGAACAGGAATTTTTGTCTGATTGGGGTGAATTCACAAGGAATTTGAGTTAGGCGTGGAAACTAGGATTGCTGATGAAAATGCATCAAGGTGGAAAAGCCTCAGGGGTATTGTGGGTACCACATACAACCAGTGTAGACGGAGCATAGGGGAGGAGACTGGTGAGGCTCTAAGGCCAGAAGTATGGGCTGGTGTGTGCTGCAGGAATGCTCAGGTGAGTTGATACATGGTAGTGATTCCATCACGGCGATAAGCACTGAAGATTATAGATGGATGATGTGAGGTGCAATGTGTGGGAAGATTAAGTGACTGAGTGGGTGGGATGAATAGAATAGAAACAGGAAGGTGGAAGGTTGCTCAGGGACAATTTCAGTCATCTTGCTAAGTCCTGATTTAGCCTAAATTAGAGCTGGGGAAGACTCAGATAGTGGGGGGTAATAAAAGAGGTGTTGCAGAGCTAAAACCATCAGGTTGCAGGGAATGATTGGCTGCAGTGGGCAAAGGGTGAATTAGTCTCAGATAACCTGGTCTTTGTTTCTGAATGAACTAGGTGGGTAACCCAAAGGTGAGGCCAGTGAGTGCCCCATACAAATTCTTGCAGGTGCAGGGCTAGTACCCCAGGAGTGAGTGCCTCCTCCTCTGTGAGTCCTTTCGCTGGTTACTGCTGACTTGTGAACAGATGTGAGAAGAGGAATTGGTTGTAGAGGGAGAGTGATGTCTCATTTGGGAGATGCTGAATTTAAGTATTGGAGGTGAAGCAAGAAAGAATTCTCACAAGATATTTGAAATGCTATTTTGGAGTACAGGAGAACAGAGAAAGGGAGAATATAGTGATCACAAATCTAAGGCTGTGATTGAATCATGGAAATGGATTCTGTTGCCCAGATTCAGCCTTACACCTGGTAGCTCCCACAGTATTTTTAGCATAAAAATTGAGGCCGTCTTTCTTTAGCACTTACTTGTATTTCATGTACTTACATGGTGCTTAGCTTGCCTAGACCCTGGCGTTCCCACTGAAATGGGTTATTTTATCCAGTTTGCACAATTCCTTGAGCTCAGGAGGCCTGCCTGCTGGCTATTGCAGCCTGTGCTGTGGTGGCCATGCAAACAGCAGTGGGAACGTGGACACCCCGCCTTCATGTTCTGGGTCCAGAACATAAAATAGGACACCTACTATCTTTCTTTGGTCTCCATGCTGACAGCTTCATCCATGTAGTTCCTGCAAGGCCCAGGAAGTATTCGGCCCCTGCCCTAGAGAATGATTTTGCATAGCACCACCCGCGCAGGGCCAGAGATGGCAGAGAGAGCACAAATGCCAGAGTCATGCTCGGTCATGGCTACTTGTAGAGTGAAGTCAGGAGAGGCGGGCTCGTCAGCGCTAAACTTCGGGGAAGATTCTGTCTGGGTAAAGGCATGGAAATTGCAGATTGGAAAGTTATTGGTGATATTTGACAGAGCAACTGAAGCAGTGGTGGGAAGGAAACACATTTTAGGGATTAAAGAGTTGCCAAAGCATGTGATGCGGAGGAGGGCAAACATGGGGAAGTGGCCACTTAGAGAAAGAATTTATGGATGTGGCAATCTTGGCTGAGGGGCCTTAGAGAGGTAACCAAGAACAGTGAAGAAAGAAGTGGGTACTTCTGGATTATAAACTTGATTCGGCTCCTTACTACGTGACCGGAAGAAAGTTTCTGTGACTTTGCTGAGTTTTGCTTTCCACGTCACTGAAGAGATTAATATTGGGTTGTTGGAACAGTAATGATGTATTTTTTTTGTTTTTCAAGCAAAAATGTCTCAGTTTTTTACTTTTCTGACAACCCAGTACTTTTGGTGCTGTCCTGAAAAAAGATATAACAGACAGTATAGTGTCTGGCACAGAGCAAATGTTCACTGTATGATCAGTGCTATTGATATTATTTAAAATGTTATATTATTGAATTTTATAAAGGTATGTGAGTTTTATTTCTTTCTAAACTCCCACCAGAAAAAAGAAATTAAATTGTTAGCTGCATCCATTGAATCCAAACCCAATCAACCATCTGGAAAGGTATGGAGATAGCATACCTTAAGCACTTCTGCTTAAGATATGTTTTCATGCTCTGTTTATCAGGATCTGATTTCCTGAGGGCAAACGATATGAGGTGGGGGAATGTAAAGAGCCTTTTTAATGAATCATTGTTTCAGGAAGAGCTGACTGGTTGCAACATTCTACTTTATAACCCTACTTTATAACCCCTTTATAACTTTAGAAAACTCCAGTTACATTACTTGGAGTTTACACTCCATTTCCTGCTGCAAATATACCTTCTTTAACCAGCTGTATCACTAAAGAATGTCAGGCACTTCTTCATTTTGAAATTCCCAGTTGAATCAACCTAATGTGAACAGGCCCCAAGTTCTGTTACTCGATCAAGTGAACTCCTAAAATTGTGGTAGGAATGTGGTCATGGCAAAAAAAAGGGGGGGAGAGAGAGAGAGTAAAGGATCTTCCCCCCAAATTGTTTTCCCCTTAAAATTTAGGCTATTCTTCACCTAGAACCATCGTTAACCTCAAAAATAGGATGAAGGCACTCTTGCAATGTTCATTACACTGATTTAAACCCATAGAGACAGTTTGCTGTCCTTTGTGTGAGTGTAACACCCAGGCTGGTGATTTCTGATTCATAAACATCCTTGGGCAAGTAAGTGAACAGAAAACACAAATCACAAATGGCTGAAAGATCACTAGACAACTTGTTTATTCACCAAATCCTGTTTGGAAGAAGGTGCTATGTAGAGATTTTGTTGGTGTTCTTTGTACATAAAACTCTGGGAAACTATAAGCAACCAATACTAAGCATTTCTCCTGTGTATAACAACATGATCATAATTCTTCGTATTTTTCATAGTTAATTGTAACTATATTGGACTGGCAGCTTTAATGAACTGTACTCTTTGTTCATATACTTAATGCCTTTAGATTTATTGAATTTGGAGTTATTATGTGATAAGTTTTTTATCTTTCCAACTTAGAAAATATGTACTCTGGGACCTTAACCCTTTGCACTCCGAACCATTTTACAATATTTTGATTTAGTTTCTTGTGCCATTTCAAGATAAAACTTCAGGGAAACATGCATGTCTCAAAAAGTTGCGTTGAAATAACCTCAATTCCCCGTAATCACTAATAAATTGCAATGTCCCCTGAGAGGGGACATCCAAGTGATATGCTAGAATTCCGATGTCCCCCTGAGAGGGGACAGCGGAGTGCAAAGGGTTAAATAATAGTCTATAGGAGATCGGACTATTTTGATATTTGAAGAACTTTTCATGTTTGGTATTTTTCTACATAGAATGGTTGTTTGTGGCTAAAAAAATCAAAAGTGAAATGTCTACAAAAGTGAAATATGTATAACAAGTAACATTTAATATCTGCTGTCTTTTTTTTTCCAGTCAGGCATGGATGCTGCTTTGGATGACTTAATAGACACATTAGGGGAACCTGAAGAAACAGAACAAGATAATGCAACATACACTGGACCTGAAATTTCAGTATGTGATCTTGTCTTCTGTGAAGATTTGTTCTTGGCGGGTAGAGAGTATGGTCATGATCGTGATGCAAAGAATCCCTGGTACTTTGTTGCTTAAAGGAAACAGGGTGATGTCAGAATCAGTAATAGCTGCTTACGGGATGAAAACCATTGCTTTACGGGCAGCTCTAGCGTTACATTCATTCAGCAGACATTTACTGTGTGGTTTATGCTGAGATGGGCTGGAATTCAGCCTCTGGGATCACAGACTTATCTTTTGTCCTCAAAATTTTATCAAATGGACTTGAACTCATTTTTTAAAATATTATATATATTTTACATTATCCCTCCTTTTTGTACAATGTATGCTTTCTCCTCTCAGGTGTAGTCCCTATAAAATTCCCACCACCCATTTACCTGTGCACCATCACCATAGTCCCTTGTGCTCTTCCCTCCTATGTTTTGATCCTTCTCCCTCTTCCTCCCATGCAGAATTTCTCTGATTTATAGTTACCTGTTAATTTTCTTTTTAATTTATTATTCTTTTAACTGATCTTTTATTTTGTTCCCCTACATTCCTCCCCTACATTCCTACATAATCCCTCCCAGCTCCATCCATGTTGCTGTGAATGGCATGAGTTTATCTTTTTGATTGCTGAGTAATACTCCATTGTGTATACATACCACATCTTCTTGATCTATTTTTTGGGCATTTGGATTGTTTCCCTGTCTTACCTGTTGTAAAGTGTATCTTACCTATTGTAAATAGTGCTACAAGATGGTCTTGAGCTCATTTCCCAGATGCTTCCCATCCTGTAACTTGAACTTATTTTATTTCTAGATATTTATCACCCTCACTTCAGCCCTATTCCTAAAACAAAGAAAATAAGAGATATGCCATAGAGTAGAAGAAAATATTTGCAACAGACCTAGCAAAGGATTTTTGCTTATGAAGGATTTTTATTTTGTGAAGAATTTATGAGGAATTTGAAAAAGTGTCAAAAGCAGTCCAGAAGAAAATAACAAAAAAAAAAAAGGCAACTAAATGAAGTAAAAGTCTCCTTAGTAATTAGGACAATGGTATTATAAAGTGGAAAGATACCACTTTCTAGCTATCAGATTGGCAAAATACCAAAGTTTGACAGGCTGCCTAGAACTGGTGGGTTTGAAAATGTCCACACCCATCAAGCAGCAAATTCACATCCAGAATGTTCAAGGAGGGGCCTGGCCGATGGGTTCCAGGACTTGTAAGAACAGGTGAAAAGATAGGAAACAAGCTTGTTCAACAGGAAAGGGGATAATGTAGTGGAATACCTTAGAGACAATACTTTAAAAAGGTATTCATGTATCAACATGGTCGTGTTACAAACACATAATTTTAAATAAAATTGATATTACTGATCCCTTATTACTGATGCATAGAATATTGCAACATTTCCACAACATTTGAAAATAGGAGAAGTGGTGGTGTATATTATTTGTGGTTACCTACTGTGGAATGTTTTGAAAAATGCTGACTTTTAAGTAGCAATTCAGGATAGTGACTACCTTTGGGTCACAAGGAAGAGGAATGATATTGGAGATGACTCAACAGACCTCACTCTATCTGATTTTTTTACTTAGAAATTACATAAAAGTAACTATAGGTCTGATAGATGGATTTGAGTTTATATAGAAATTCATTGTTAATAACTGCACTTTGTAAGTATTGGAAACAAGTATCATTTGATAATGAAAAACACTTTTAACTTATACTTTAACATAGGAGCCAAATTTAACATAGTGGTTGGAATGTTTTCTTTAAACTTTGAGTTAAGCCATGGGCAATATGGGCAAGTATTTGTATAACCTTAATATTTCAGACATTTTGTAAAGCATTAACTTCTTAATGATTTATGTTTCATCTCATTTCCTTAAATTAATAATGGAATAGTACTGGTTTCAGCATATTCATATAACATTCTCAGCTAATTCATTGCATCATCTCTTATGTGTGTGATTTTAGTATATGTGCTGCTGAAGCGAGCACATTTACATGTATGATTTTGTTCCAGGATCCAATGACTTCTACCTACATAGAGGAATTGGGTAAAAGAGAAGTCACAATTCCTCCAAAATATAGAGAACTTTTGGAAGTAAGTTAAATAATCATTTTTGGTTTCCTTTTGGCTATCTAATTTTTACTACATCTATATAATCACCATTTTTTAAATGTAGGAGGTTGAAAGGGGCATACTTGGTCATTACTTTGACACTCAGCTTTCATAAGAGAGTGCCACAGACCGGATGGCCTAAAGAACAGGAAAATATGTTATCTAAATTCTGAAAGGGCTGGAATACTGAAATCAAGCTGTGAGAAGAGTTGTTTACTTCTGAGAGCTGTGAGGGAAGGATCTGTTTTGGCCTCTCTGGTTTATAGATGAACACCTCCCTGTGTGTACACATCTTCACCTTGTCCAACTCTGTATCTCTGGGGCGTGTTTCTTCTTTTTACATCCAGTCTCCCTGCTCCTTCATTTTATCTTAATTGCTTCTTTAAAGGCCTCATCTTTAAGCACAGTCACATTCTGAGGTGCTAGTGGTTAGGACTTCAACGATGAATTTTGAGAGGACACATTTCAGCCATCACACTTTTGAACAATAATTTTTTCCAATTACAAGGATTAATATTTCCTTCTCAACATCATCAAATTAATGTTTGTTTCAGAAAAAAGAAGGGTTTACAGCGCCTCCTCCAGACACTTTGGTGAGTTTACATAAATACCTTCCAAATGAACAATTTTTATATCTCTGGTTGGGAGGGAGGAGTAGGGCTATTCTGTATCTTGGGATGACGACTAAACTAGTTTCTAAATCAAGTGAAGTTGATCTAGTCAGAGAAGGGGTTGTTTCAGCATCAGTGGTTTCATATGTAGGGTTTTTTTTTTTTTAAGGGGAAAAAGAATGGAGAAAAAAAGTTTTAGGATAAAATAAATGTTAATAAAATCTAATAGGAATGTTGTAACTGGTACATTTAGAAGAGAATAGTGAAATAGCATTTATTGAGCACCTACATCCTTGCAAAGAGGCTTCCATCTGAGTTATTTCACTAAAATAAGGTCAGCAAGGAATAACAGAAGTACATTTTTTTTTAAGTTTTGGAGATTAATTGCTTGCTCTTTCCCAGTGCTTTTATTGCTTTGTCTTCTCTTCCCTGCCCATAGTGTGGTTACAGTTAATGTTACCTACTTATGCCTATAAATACTAGAAAAAATGTACAATGTGCATTTAATCAACCAAAAGTACAGTTAATTTGCTGGGCTCATAATCTGCTCTTGTGCGTGAGTGAGTCCCCTCTGTCACCCCTCCTGGTGCTGTTTCTCTAGAAACCCATGGGGCCTGATGACGCCATAGACTCCTTGTCATCTGACTTCACCTGCAGTTCTCCTGCTGCCGGTGGGGAGCAGACCAAGAAAGAGGTATAGTTTTTTTTTTTAATTTAAATTTTATTTTTTATATTCCCGATACAATTACAACCCCTTTATTTTGACCCCAAGCCCTCCTTTCCCCACCCCCCACCCCCCATAGTGTGTCTCTGGTTCATAGTTGTTTGTTGATTTTGATATTTTCTTTCTTATAGTTATTCTTTTTCCTGGTCCCTTATTTAAGTTTTCTAGATTCCTGCTATGAGTGAGACCATCCGGTATTTTTCTATTTCTTTCTGGCTTATTTCGCTCAGCATGATTCCTCCAGCTCCATCCATGTTGTTGCAAATTGCATGTGTTTATCTTTTTTGAATGCTGAGTAATATTCCATGGTGTACATGTACTACATCTTCTTGATCTAGTCATCTATTTTTGGGCATTTGGGTTGCTTCCAAAGCTTAGCTATTGTAAATAGTGCTGCTATAAATATAGGGGTGCAGGTGCTCTTTGGAATTGATGTTTCTGTGTCCTTTGGGTAAATACCTAGGAGTGGAATTGCTGGATCATATGGAAGCTCTATGTTTAGTAGGTCCAGAAATCTCCACACAGCTCTCCATAGTGGTTGGACCAGTTTGCACTCCCACCAGCAGTGCAGGAGAGTTCCTTTTTCTCCACACCCTCGCCAACATTTGTTGTTGCTAGTTTTTTTGATATGTGCCATTCTCACTGGTGTAAGATGGTACCTCATGGTAGTTTTGATTTGCATTTCCCTGATTACAAGTGATGTTGAACATTTTTTCATATGCCTGTTGGCCATTTGCATTTCCTCTTCAGAGAAGTTTCTTTTTAGCTCTTCTGCCCATTTTTTGACAGGATTATATTCTTTGTTGGATGAGTCTCATCAGCTCTTTGTTGTTGAGTCTCATCAGCTCTTTGTAGATTTTTGTGATCAGTCCTTTATCATTAGTGTTGTGTGCAAAAATGTTCTCCCAGTTGGTGGGGTTTCTCTTTGTTTTTCTATTGTCTCTTTTGCTGTGCAGAAGCTCTTTAATTTGATGTAGTCCCAGCTGTTTATCTTTGCCTTCACTATCACTGCTTTGGGTGATGTGTCTGTAAAGATCTTTGATGTGCATATCATGTAGTGTTTCGCCTATATTTCCGTCTATGTATTTTATGGTTTCAGGTCTTATGTCTAGTTCTGTAATCAATTTTGAGTTGGTTTTTGTGCATGATGTTAGGTAGTAGTCAAGCTTCATTCTTTTGCATGTAGTGACCCAGTTTTCCCAGCACCATTTATTGAACAGACTTTCTTTGCTCCAATGCATATTCTTTGCTCCTTTGTCAATGATTAGTTGACCATAAATCTGTGAGTTTATTTCTGGATTTTCTATTCAGTTCCATTGGTCTGTATGTTCTTGTTCCAATACCATGCAGTTTTGATGATTATGGCTTTGTAGTATAGTTTGAAGTCTGGGAGTGTGATGCCTCCATTTCCTTCTTTTTTTTCAGGAGTGCTTTGGCTATTTGGGGTTTTTGGTGATCCCATATGAATTTCATCAATAATATTTCTATTTCTTTGAAGAATGACATTGAAATTTTTTATTGGAATAGCATTGAATCTGTATATTGCTTTTGGTAGGATGGCCATTTTTTTTTTTTTAAGGGAAATTTTTTTTTTTATAGAGGCATGTTTTATTTATTTATTTATTTGTTTGTTTGTTTGTTTGTTTTTTGTTTATACATGCACTGGGTACAGTCAGAAGCGCGGGAGGGTGAGAGAATTCACCAGAGCCAGAGCGGGGAGCAGAGCAGGCAGAAGGACCGAAGTACACTGCTGAGGGGAGCAGCGGGCGGCAGGAAAGGTCTGCGTGCCATGCGGGACCCTCCTCCGGTGGCCGGGGAGCAGCCAGGGATCAAACCAGCGCTGCAGAGGCTGTGGGCAGCTTCACAAGCCAGCGCTCAACCGCTGCGCCACCGGGGAGGCCCAGGATGGCCATTTTAATAATGTTTATTCTTCCAATCCATGAGCAGGGGATGTCTTTCCATTTCTTTGTCTTCTTCTATTTCTTTTAACAATGTTTTATAGTTTTCTTTGTATAGGTCCTTTACCTGAAAGAGGTATAGTTTGCAATGTAGTTATGGAAAACTTATTAAAAATCACCTCAACTTTATAATCACAACTTTTTGGTTCCAATTATTTAATTACATTTTCTTTCTCTCTAAATTTAATCATTTGCATCTTTTGTTGCAGAAATCTACAGGAGAGGTCTTAAAAGCTCAGTCAGTCAGTGTCATCAAAAGTGCTGCTCCACCCCATGAGAAGAAAAGAAAGGTGGAGAAGGTATCCATGCTTTCTTTTTTGAAAATAACTAAGCTATCCTGATAGCAGTGGCTCTCCTGAGCCTGATCTACCTGATTCCAGAGAATCCCTTTAGTGCCTTATCTCTCGGGGCCTCTGGGATATTGAAACCAATCAACCTTCCACTGGTCATCTCCAGGCTTTCTCTGTTTCTTTAAATAGTTGCTATTGATTTCAGCATTGACTCCTTGGTTGTAAAACAATATCACAATACACAGAAAGGCAGAGTCCCAAAAGAATTGCACTTAGAACATTAAATCTTCCACTTGATTTTCTTAAGAAGTCTGGGCCCCGTTACTCACTTAGAGGGGTGTCATTGTGGCTCTGTCTATCCACCTCTTTGACCCACAGTCCACTCACTTAATTCTCCGAATCCTGAGCAGTGGTCCTCCAGCCCTGGGCTGGATGAAAAGCACATCCCATCTGCAGACGATCGAGATAATGACTCAGTAAGCAATTTCTGTTGGAGCTGCTCTGCCTCTCCCCTCCTGGAGCGCACAGTTTATTTTTATCTGGCCGGCTGTGGGAGCACTGAGCTGCCACACCCCTGAGAGTGGGAGTCCTGCAGCCACCAGCCATTGTGCCTCCAGACAAGAGCCACTTCAGCTTTCCTTGTTTCCTGGTTTGGATGATTTGTAAAAGAACAGGGTTGTCGGAGTCATTTTTAGAAACTCTTTTTTGGAAAAAGACAGTCTTTAGTGGAAGTTTACATCTTGCAGCTTTTATTTTGATAAGAGTATTTTATAAAATTATAGTTATACTTCTAGTTTATTAGATAAGGGGTGAAGTGCATCCCTGGGAGCACAGGTACTGTGGAAACTTGTCTACACATTTACTCACTGGTAAGTTCTTTTTTTATTCTCTTTAATTCTTTCATTGTCTTCCTAAAGTTCTTCATCAATCCATGATTCACCATATATATTTGAAATTCTTACTTCATGAAGAAGTGGGTGGACTGTTCAGGCTAAAGGGATATTCTTCTTTATTGTATAGAATTTTTTCCTTTTCCCCAGAATGCGATGAGCGATCAAGCGCTGGAGGCTCTGTCGGCATCCCTGGGCAGCCGGAAGTCGGAACCCGAGCTGGACCTCAGCTCCATTAAGGAAGTCGATGAGGTACTGCCCTTGGAGTTCTCATACGAGCCTGTTAATCTGCAGCTTCTGAAACTAAATGTATCATGCTTGTTTAGAATTCTTCTGCAGTTTTTATTATATCGGTGATTGAAAATACTCTTCATTCTGCCTTCCCTTCTAATTCTAGTTAATTTAAATCTTTATTGCTGAGGAGTTAGTAACCAAGAAGGATATTTGAGTGTTTGTCTCATAAAACATCTAGAATTTTAATATTTAAACACTAATCTCCTTTGCCAACACTTAAATGACCCCTGACTACAGCAGATAAAATGAGGGAGTGGCCTGGTGAGACATAGGTTTGTTTGCTCCCCTGAAAATTGGAAATTTGTATTTTCTGAAGAGTACTGGGCATGTCTCCTGTTAGGTAGAAGGGAGATGGGCTGTAGATGGGGTGGAGAGAGCCACCTTTGTGTACCTATGGGGAATAATAGAGAAAATTTGTCTAAAATGAGAATAAAATCCAGTAGCAACTCCATAACTGGAACTCCTGCCCTGTGGAGTGTTTATCCTACTCACGCCAAGGTCTTAGCAGGCCTGAGCTTTACCACAACTGTATGTGGTGTAGGAGAGTTTTAATATTAAATTAGAATTTTTGTAGAAGTTGGGGTGGGGGATGCTGGGCATTCTCAAAAAAAAAGACAATGTAGTGAGGCCATGGGAGAACAGCCCGAGGCCCCCAGGATCACACCATCCTTTCTGCTCAGGGCAGGGGCTGCTAGGTGACGCTGTCACAATGCTCCTGCCTGCGTTGTCACTTCCTCTTCTGAGTCACTGGGGAAGGTGAGTCTCCCTGACTCACAGCAGCTCTGCCTGAGTCTGGGACTGCTCTAGTCCCAAATGGGCCAGTTTCTATCTTCGACTTTCTTAGAGGGCTCCCCAAGCATGGTATGGCATAACAAGCTTTGTGAAGGTGAACACACGGGAGCAGGAGAAGCAGTCCTTGTCCTCCAGGACCAAGTAATGTATTGTGAGACTGATTAAATCACCATGCAAAGTGCATGTTACTCAGAGCAGCCAGTGAGAAGCTGTGTCTGGGGAGAGGGTGATCTTGGGAGAACCCTGGGGGAAAATGGAGACCACACTGGAGTGTGGTGCCACCGCAGAGGACTGCTGGTGGGGAACCTACTGCACTTTTGCTTCAGCATTTTATAGATCCTGAGAGTGTTTTAATAAGACAATAATCTGGAGGGGGGAAACAATATAAATCCAAGGGGAATAAAAGTTTTTATTAGAGTGACTAAAACCAAATGTAAGTAGACGTTAAAAAAAAAAGTGACATAAAATTATAAAGCAGTTTGGGTAACTAGCTTTGGGATGCAGAGGAATGTATTGAGTTTCCTCTAGAAAACCTTGGCATAGGAGAGAACTCATAAATTTTGAAAAAAAAAAGAACTCTTCTTTCTACTCACACTTCTTAATCATGTATAAAGTGTGTTTCCTGGGAATATCCTTCAGTCCTCTAGATTCTTAAACTGAATGTGTATTGCCGGATGGTGATTTCATCACCCCCTGGAAAGTGATGTTGTGAGTAGGCTCATAAAGGTTGAGATGCCATAGAGGCCACTGCTCCTCTGGCACATTCCACACTAGAGAGCTCTCTGAGGAAGTCTTCAACATCTTTTCAGTGCTTCAGAGAAAAAGTCTACCCCCCTTATTATTTTCATAATGTAGTAAAATGTAAAATAAATTTTCTATAGTGATTATAAATTATTCTAAATTTCCCATTTTCATGTATAGCTACTGTTCCGGTGCTATTTCAGTTCCATTGCTAATTTGTTCTCAGTGCCTATGGTATGCAAACCACATCGCAGGCATGTAAAGAAAATATAGATCAAGAAGAAAGAGGGAGGATCTTGCTGTGCATGTAGCTCTCACTGCGGTGGAGAGGACAGTCTTATTGACAGGGGCCCTGCCCCTTCAGGGAGGTCGTTTGGTAGGTGGAGGGCCCACAAATCTCTGTATTGGAGACTATCACTAAATAGTAGGGCATACTGCATGTGCTGCAATAGACTAAAACTGGAAATATTTTTAAAGATAGCCTTTCTTAACAAGAGTTGTTATTCTCTAGAACAATAAAGCTAATTCCAAAGCCTAGCAAAGTGCTGACTAATCAGTAAGCTAACCAGTCTTTCAATGGAGAACTACAATTTTAGGCTGAGCTATAGATGGAGCAGGGGTGTGAGCTGGGATGGGTTAAGTTCCCCCCACCCCCACCTGTGTTCCATGTATTTGTGATTTAAATCTATGCATGATAGGGGTACAAATTATTACAAATTAAGGAACTTTAAATTACTCACCACTGGTTTAAAATGCAAATATTATGTTTTAGACGCGTTGGGTTGGTAATGGTTCAGTAATCCAGTGACGTCTGGTTTATTGATGGGAGTCCTTTGTTTTTTATTGACATAACCTTGGTTTATAACATTATGTAGGTTTTAGGTGTACAGCATTATAATTTGACAGCTCTCTCTGTATATATAAAATGTGTGCCATCAAAGTCTAGTTTACATTTTCCACCATCCAGATAATCCCCATCACCCAATTTACCCACTCCCTCTCCCTTCTTCTGATGAACAAGAGTTTATGCTTACAGTCTAAGAGTTTTTTTCCTTGTTTTATTTCTTAATCCTCCACATGAAATTATAAGGATTCTTTTAAGTCTTCATTGATCAGCCAAGTTGTGTAATGGATGGTTTCTCTATTTCTGAACTGTTTGACATATGTGAGAACTGGTTGTGTGTCTGCCCCTCTGTATAGCGGCCTTGCTGAGATGAAGCCTGTTAAAATTGCAACTAACTGCTGCTCCATGCTTAATTTACTTTTCTCTGGGAGCTTAATAAGTCAGTGGCCCACGTAAGGTTTATTAGTGGCCGCATTTTAGAGCCGAGGCAACTGAACCAATGAAAGATTGACTTCCCAGTGTCAGGGAGCAGTGGGAGTGGAGTGGGACACCTCCCAGGGATGCCTGGTTGTGTTACTTTTGTCTGCATCCCTCACAGGCGCTCACCAGGGTATTGTGCTTTGTAGTTTACGAAGCCCTTCCAGACACTTTTATCTGCTTGGCTGTCCTCTACAACACCCATGAAGTACATCAAGTGGTCTTGTCTTATTTTACAAGTAGTATCCAATTGTTTACATTTTTCCATTTCCATTTTCCAGGCAAAATCCAAAGAAGAGAAACTAAAGAAGTGTGGTGAGGATGATGAAACGGTCCCGTCAGAGTACAGATTAAAAACAGTCACGGTATGTTTGAATGTGTGTAGCCATGGTGCAAACTAGCAACACACACTTCTCACCTTTGCAGTGTGTTTCATTGAAACCCCTGAACTCTCTCTTCTCTGCTCTCTGCCATTGCACCCTGTAAGGGATGGTTTCCTAAATAGTGACTGGTCCTTAAAATTTCCACAAATTCATGTGCTTTCAACTACTATCATGCTTGACATATATCCTTAACCTTAAAGCAGAAGGAACAATTTGGTAAGAATTTTTTTCTCTAACTGATAAATGGATAAAAGCACCATAGATCTTCTGAGTGGTGCATATAAATGCATAACTGTTTACCAGTATTGAAGGGAGGGTAGTGGTCTAATTCCTGTGACTGTTTTTGTAATTTATCTTTGAACTAATACACATAAACACATGGTAGAAAAAATTGTGATTCTTCGATATGCTTTTATATGGAAAGTTTATCATTTTTAGGAATATTCTAAAACTGAAAATAGAATTACAGGAATGATACCTATCTCTTCCCTCTGGGGAGAAGAATTGAGACTTATTTTTAAATCTTTCATTAATATAACTGTATCATTCTTGCCAAAGAACTTTTTCAAAAATTCCATTTCCCTATCCAGTTGATAGAATTTTTCTTGTTAATTTAAAGAAAAGTAAATGTATATTATATTTGAAAACATTGTACTCGATTTTTACAAATCACTGATAACTTTATAGGATGTAAATCTGAAACACAGGTTCGTTCAAATACAAGAAACAGAAGAAGATCTCTTCTTCTATCTTGGAATTCCCTAAAATAAACTTCATGGGAAAAAAGCAAATCTTCTACTTCATTTTCAGTGTTTTCAATTTCATTTACAGGATACAGATGGAAAACCACTATTGCCAGAACCCGAGGAAAAGTCTAAGGTTAGGCAAAAAGTTTTTTCTGATACTTAAAAAAAAAAAAATAGTGTAAATTGAGATGATTTTGACAGATGATTTTACTGGGGAGAAGTGCAAGCAATACTTAGCTCACATCTCTGATTCCTTCTCCCATATTTTGATGATCATTTTCCTCTCATGAATTATAACTAAACTATTATAATTTTCTAGGTGATTTTCATTGACTGTTAGAAGCTGATGTTAAAATGGTCTTTAGATTACTAGCACTTAGTGTTTTTATCCTAATTCTAGCATCAAATACTTTCATGATTCTGTGCTACCTTAAGTTTGTTTCAACCAGCATAATTACATAGCATAATGTAATGCAACAGCATTTATGCTGGACACTGCCACTAGGTGCTTTTTTGTATGTTATCTTTTTTGAGTCTTCACTGCATGAGGAAAATGTTTATTATTCCCATTTTACAGGTGAGGAAAGTGAGCAGATGCGTTAAATCTAAGTAGCTCAACGTCATACATATAGAGAAGAGAAAGACCAGAACTGAGAGCTCAGGCTGTCCACTTGAGACAGCATCTGAATCACTTGCCATTCAGTCATAGATTAATTACTGTGATCAGTCAAATCTCTGTAGGCCCAAACACATGTCACTTTACCTGACAGAACTAGGACTAGTGGAATTTTTCTGCCAAAATGCACAAAGTCATAGGAAAGGAGTAGATGGTCTGCTTCCTCTGACTTAAAGAAGTAGGAAAAAAAAAATCACATAATAAAGAAAATGCACTGATCCTCATTGGAAGGACCAGGAAATTGTATTTTTAAAAAAGCCTCTTTTGATATTAAAGTGTCAAAAAGACTTGACTGTATAAACTGTTGATATTTTTTGGTACTGAGATGCGTTCCTTATTTGCTGCATGATCTGTCTTACATTGATAAACGAAAAATATACCTGTGTAAGTTAATCTTGGATTTTAGAGCTTAAAATATGACCTAAAATGTGTTGACCAGAGAAAAATAACCTATGAAAACTTTCTTTTCTGAACAAAGTATGATTTGTTACTTCATAATATAAATGTTTATTTACAGCCCCTGACTGAATCAGAGCTAATTGATGAACTTTCAGAAGACTTTGACTCAAAACGTAAAAAGAAGCAGTCTAAGCCAACTGAAAAAGCAAAAGTATGTTTCTGAAAAATCTGTAGTTTTGAATAACTTTATAAAGTGAGCCCAAAACTATTTTAGCGTGAAGCAGTTGATATAAGGCCTCATATGCCATGTATTTTTTCCATTCTGGTTTTTTTTTTGTCTTGCCTTTTTCTGGATGTGCTTCCTTTTCTCAAGCTGAACATGATATTCTTGCATCTTGACTCCTGTAATTATTCCTTTAGGAAAACATTCACACCCATGCCTTCTCTTCCTGCTTCTGTCACTGACCTGGTTCAAGCTGTCAACATACCTCACCTCAGATGGCGGTGGCCTCTGCCTTAGTCGCCTTCCCGTCCATTCTGTGCCTCCCAGCATTCTTAAGTTTGTTTGCTGTCACATCATTATCCTGCTTCAATCCTCAGGAACTTCTTTCTAAAGCCCTTGCTAATGTGTTCTGGCCTCTTCCTTTCCTACCAAGATGTGTCCCAAGTCACTAAGCTATGACAGTAAATGCTCTCTGTGGCTGCGTGGCTTCTCTCAGTCTGTCCCTCCTAATTCTAGAGCCACTAAAACCTTAGTCATCCCTTGAAGTCTCTGCTAAAATATGACCTCCTTTATGTTCTCCTTCTCCCTAACCTTACGACCCTTCCAATCCTTGTTGAGCAGAATATAACATGCTGGGCATTGCCATCCCCCTTTAAGGCTTTATTTACAAACAGGGTTTTTAACTGTGGTACTTGTTCATCTCTATCATTTTATGTGGTATTAAGCAGATAGTAAATTCTTTGAAGAAGACATCATACCCTAATCATGATCATTTATGGAACAACTTGCATGGTAGAATAAGATTCTGTGAACACCTAGATTAAAAATAATTTGTTTGAAATTTTACTCTTGTGACAAAAGAAGATAGCACAGTAATATTCAGACTGTAGCACACATCAGCATACCTGGAGGGTTTGCTGGGCCTCACCCTCAGAATTTCTGATTTAGTCTGTTGGAGTAGGAGTCCAAGAATGTATATGTCTAATAAGTTCCTGGTAATGCTGGTTGCTGGTCCAGGGACCACACTTTGAGAACTCCTGGGATCACCTTGCATTTGTATAGAGCTATTTACAATTTACAAGGAGCTGTTAGATATATAAAAATAATGTAGTTATATAAAATGCATTACATTATGTAATAGGTTTGTTATTATGTATTATGACAAGTAAATAATGTAAATAGTATTACTCATTGCCAAAATTTATCTTTGCTCTGTTCTCAGTTACTAATCAGAACACTTCATGTTTTATTCCATTAAACCCCATGTTAACCCTTTAGATGTAGGTGCTGTTATCTTACAGATGCAGAAACTGAGTCTCAGTCAAGTTAAATAAACTTCCTAAGATAAAAAATAAAACCAAGTTTAAATAATAGTAGAAGAGTTTTAACCAGCCTTCAGTTATTTACTACTCAGCAATCCTTAGCTACCTGAGAAAAATCATGCTCATAGCATATAATAATAGCAGAGTATATTATTGATTGGTTCATTGTTCAGTCTTACTAACCAGGTATTTCTAAAAGTTCATCAACATACCTGCCTCTTTCCGCAGGAAGCTCAGGCCACTACCCCAACTCCTCTGGAAGAGGCTGTGCCTCGGACCTCTCTTTGTAGTGTACAGTCGGCACCCCCCAAACCAGCTGTGACGGTGAGCAATCCTCTGGGCATTGGGAATTGTCTTGAAAGTAATGTCTTGGTCCTTGCATTTCCTTCTGTGTATTACAGTCATATTATTTTATTCTGTCAAATAAAATCTTATGTGGGTTTAGTATCTTTTGCTCTTCGGGCTTCAGGTGTATGTTAGAAAATCAGGCTAGATTTAGAATTAAACTGCTACAATCTGTTTTTCTTTCACCTTCTGGAGTTCTTTCTAGTATTTGAGCTACTGTGGATAACCATGCTTTTTCACGTCTCTGCATCTCTAGCCTATTTGGAGTTTCACAAATAGCCTCATGTCAGTAAAGGGAGGACAGGTTAACTCAATTCCTTTCCCTTGCCCTCTTCATTGCTTGTTTCTCTTTGTTATATTTGTGTGAAGTGTGATATTTAAAGCATTCAATTTTGTTTCCTTTTGAACTCAGTGGGTTTTGTTTCCATCATCTGCTAGAATCTTCAAGAATAACATCTGATGGAATTATGTTTCTGCAGACTTAGTGGATCTGGGCTCTGAATAACTAACTGTTCTAGATGCTTGACAGTGCCTTCTCATTAGATTTCTAAAGTCTTTTCTAACCATCTCTATTATAGATGAAGGAAATGAAGTTTTGAGTTGATCTTGCATAAGCCTTTTGACCTTTCAGAGCTGCAGTTCATATCAAAGATTTGGCCTGCACTCAGCTACCATCAGGTTGAGTGTGGATATAGCCAGATCTCAATTTGGTCATTCTCATATGTGTTGAATAAAAAGAGCAGAGGGAACATCATTTCCCAGGGAGAATTGGGAGAGGCCTGCAATTTGAGGGCAGAAGCACACCAAGGGGTGGGACTAGGACTGATTTCTGGGGATGCCAGAGAGCCAAGGACGGGCCAGCAGAAAAATGTGAAGTGTTTGGTGTACTTGGGATATGTTAATGGGGCCCTTGAAAAAAGTTACAGACCGGTATCTTGGGGAGAATGGAGTCCTTGAAGAAATTATAGACAGGTATCTTGGGGGGGCCCAAAGTGGTTGCTTCCCCCCAAGGAATTCCTTGGTGCCAACTTCACCGTCCTCCTTTTTTTGAGACCTCAGGCTTCATTTACACTGGGAATCAGCATAGGAATCAACGTAGGCCAACAGGTAAGGAAGAAGAGAGAAAGAGAGAATCTAGGATGAGACTGGAGAACAGAACAGTGATTGGAATCAAAATGACAATAGCAGCATTCCAGGGCAGAACTCTTGTGATCTAAATATGTGCCATCTACCTCCTGCCTGGTGTGACTTTAGAAGACTCATTTCCTTTCCAATTTTATTCTGACAATAGTGTCAAGCAGTGGATTTTTAGTGGACAGGAAGAAAAAAAAGCTCTTGGTTTTTTATTCTCTGTCCTCCTTCTCTGGGCTGCTTCTCCACAAGTCTGGTTGACACAGTTGCCTGGATTACCATCACTGAGGTTAGTTGGCATTTCTGGGATTGCGACACTCTTGGAAGCCAGCAAGAGCTGGAGTGTGATAAAGGTCAGAGGCCTCAAAAAAGTCTTGAATTAGTAAAAGGAAACAAAAAGACTGGAGGAAGAACATGTGTGAGTGCATTGTGTGCTTCTTGATTATGTTTAAAAAACAATTTATTGAGGAAATCCAGAGACCTGACTTCCAATTCTGATTTTGCAACAAATTCAGATTTGTTCTAAATTTGACTAAATAGAAGATTGAATCCTTAGTCCTATTTCCTGATTCCTTAAGTGTTTTCTTTTTTAAAATTGTTTACATCACTATATGTTTTGGGATTTTAGACTTACACCTTTCCATGTTATGTTACCATATCATGACCACTGCCAAAGCACTCTTAGTCCTCCACAGTACGCTGGGCCCCTCCTAGCTTTGCTCCCCATGTGCCCCCCCCCCCTCCAGTCCGGTAGCTTCAGTTCTGCAGTCAGATTATGTTTGTTTTGGTTTCATTTAGTCAGTTCCTTTGCTTTGTTTCTTTACATTCTACATATGAATAAAATCATCTGGTATTTTTTTCTTCTTTTGATTTATTTTGCTTAGCATTCCTTTCAATTCCACCCATGTTACAATGCACCATTCATCTTTATTTGTTCATGGTACTGTCCCACCTTGTATATATAGCACATCTTCTCTGTTCTGTTATCCCTCATTGGACACTTTGGTTGTTTCCATAACTTGGCTAGTATAAATAGTGCTGCAGTGAATACAGGAATGTATATATATCTTTTCAAATTTGTGTTTTTATATTCTCTGGAAAGATACCTGAAAGTGGAATTGCCGGATCATTTATATGGTAGATCTATTTTTAATATTTTAAGAAACTTCTATACTGTTCTTCAAAATGGTTGCACCGATTTACTTTTCCTACCCACAGTGTACGACGGTTCCTTTTTCTCCACACCTTAGCCAACGCTTGTTTCTGGTCTCTTTTTTATTCTCACAGATATAAGATGATAGCTCATTGTGATTTTGATTTGCATTTCCCTGATAATAAGTGATGAATAGCACTTTTTCATGTGCTTGCTGGCCATCTGTAGCTTGTCTTTGGAGAAGTGTGTATTGAGGTCTTCTGCCCAATTTATGATCAGGCTATTTGTCGTCTTGTTGAATTGTATGAATTCTTTATAAGGCATGGCTACTGCTCTCATGTTAGATGTATGATGTGCAAATACTTTTTTTTAGTAGGGTGTGTTTTCATTTTAATGATAATTTCTTTTGCTGTTCAGGAGCTTTTTAGTTTGATACAGTCCCTTTTGTTTAATGTAATCCCTTTTGCTTGTTTTTCCTTTGTTTCCCTTGCCATTGCAGTCTGGTCCCCAAAGACATCACTGAAGCTGATAGCATGGAGTATTTGCCTATGCTATGTATTTTAATGGCATTAGGTCTTACATTCAAGTCTTTAGTCTATTTTGAGTTCATTTTTGTGTGGGGTGTGAGATAATGTTCTGCCTTCATTCTTCTGTATGTGGCTCTCCAATTTTCCCAGTCCCATTTATTTTTTTTAAGATTTATTTATTCATACAAGAACTGGGGTACAGGCCAGATGTGCGGGAGGGTGAGAGAATTCACCAGAGACAGAGGGGGAACAGAACAGGCAGACTGACTGAAATACACTGCTGAGGAGAGCAGGGGGGCAGACAGGAGAGGTCTGCCACGCCTGTGGGACCCTCGCTGGCCGGGATCAAATCGGTGCTGCAGAGACTGTGGACAGCTTCACAGCACAGCACTCAACCGCCTATGCCACCAGGGGAGGCCCTTCCCAGTCCCATTTATTGAGGAGACTTTTCTTTCTCTAGTGTGTGCGCTTGGCCCCTGAGTCCTATATTAACTGCCCATGTAAGGTTGGGTTTTTCAGGACTCCCAGTTCTATTTCATTGATCTGTGTGTGCCTACTTTTATTCTAATAACATGGTTTTTCTTACTGTGGCTTTGTAGTATAGCTTGAAGTCTGGAATTGTAACACCATTTTTCCTCTCTTTATCAGTGTTGCCTTAGCTCTTTGTGATCTTTTGTGGATCCATACTAATTACAGAAGAATGCCATTAGCAATTTTGATAGGGATTGCATTGAATGTATATTACTTTGGGTTAGACAGTCATTTTAACAATGTTCTCAAAATCCATGGGTACAGGTTATTTTTCCGTTACTTTGTGTCATCTTCTATTTTTTTAACAATGTCTTTTAGTTTTTGTTGTATATATCTTTCATCTCCCTTAAGTTTATTTCTAGGTACTTTGTTGTTGTTTTATTCAATTCTGATTACTTAGTTCTTAAGATAGCTGTTTCTCCTAGGTTTCTAACTCTGTTTCACTTACTTGGAAGCCAAAGGGCACAGGTTTGGGGAACAGTGGCTTCCAAAGGTTTTACAACAGAGAGTAGGAGAAAACAGAAATAAAGTGTGAGCAGCTCCCTCAGATCTTATAGTAATTTAGAGTGTTTGGTAAGGCTTGGGGAATGCTGTAACTCTTTCACTTTAGATATAATCCCAAGCAGTTTAGATACATCAGGGATTTCTGTTGCTCCCAAGAATAAAATCTATGCCATGTCCAACCACTAGATGGTGATAAATCACTTCCCACACAGTTCCCTGTCCTCAGTTTCCTTTTACAGTACGGAGAGGCAGAAAAAAACTTTTTGTTTCTGGCATGATATCTGAGCCATGTAAAACAGACACTTTGATTCTAAAATTCCAATATATACTCAATATGAGGTCATAGGCTTTGATCATAAGTATAAACTTTAAGACTAATTCAGGGGCTTTCACGCTTTTGACAAACCAACAATAGAAAACTTAATGTCCATACATAGAAATAACAGTTCATAAATGGTACTTATACTTCTTATATATAATTCATTCTGTAATGTATTCTTTCATTAAACAAATTAAGCCTTGGCCATGAACTATTAAATTGTTTGTGAGCCACTAGAAGATGGATCATGATCTGTGGTTTGGAAAAAGTCAGATTTAGTTCTGTTAGTCTCACCATAGTTTTTCCTTTATTTCCCCTTCATGCCATTTCATTTTGATCAGCCAGACACAGGTAGTCACACAGGTTAGTCAGTGACAGGCAGCCCCCTGAACCAGCAAAGCCGCTTTGACCAGTAGAAACCTCAAGGAGAACCAGCCGCAGGAGCCGCTGAATCTGCAGGGCAGACTAGACTGTTTCACGATGCATGAGGAAAAATGTCATCTCCTGGGCCTTTCTGAAAATCTTCCTGTGCCAGCTCCAGAACCATCACCCTGCAGATCATTTTGTTCTGTCCTAGCTTTCAGCTTCTCTGTGGTATATCCATTCCATTGCTTTTTTGATTTTGAAACCAAAACACTGGGTTAGATCTTGTAATATATAAGTTGCACATATTAACATTTCATATAAAAAGCTCTCTAATTTTAACACGTTTTCTAAAACATTTTTAAACATAGATTTTAATGATTCAAATTATTAAATGATAATATGTGCTTCTTATCTATGCCTGAAATAAGGCTATGCCCTTCTGCAAAGTTTGATATAGTCTTTCAAAAAGGATTGATGAATCACCTATTTAATATATCCACTAATGCTTTCGCAAGGGCATGGTGCCAAATGATGCTGTGGAAGCCTTGGCTGGTAGCCTGGGGAAAAGGGAAGCAGATCCAGATGATGGAAAGCCTGTGGAGGATAAAGTCAAGGTAATGGCAGCTCAGAAACTTTTGGAAAGTAACTATCATGGATCACGCTCATTGGCCTAGTTCAGGTAGTCACTTTTACATATAGGTATTTTCCACAACATGCAACCAGCTGGCTTCCTCTTATTAAGCTAAACTTGAGTGGCCACACATGTTTAAACTCAGCAGTGGGTGTACAGCAAGTATATATCAGAGTCCTGAATCTTACCTTGTTCACCTGCGTTCCTCCTGCTGAGGACTCAGAAGTGGCAGCTACCTACGCGCCTCAAAACTGCCCAAGCCCAGCTGACTTCCGAGCCTCTCAGCTGGACACACTGTTAAAGATCAGGTAGATGTAGGAACCCCACACATATAGTCACGTGTATGTTTTAACCTAGTGATGATTTATTTGCACCAAATTTAGCTACTTGGACATGGGGAAAAGCTGTATTAATGGAAATGGTACAATCTTTATTCAGGAAAAAGCCAAAGAGGAGGATCGTGAAAAGCTTGGAGAAAAGGAAGAAACAATTCCCCCTGATTATAGATTAGAAGAGATGAAGGTAAACAAGCTGTTCTTTTTTTTCTGTTATTTTAATTCATGTGCACTGAATTCCATGTGCATAAAGAAGGGAGAGAGACATACCTGGTATGTAAAGATCTTGTTTCCTAATATCTTGGGCCTCCCCTGGTGGCGCAGCGATTGAGTGTTTCCTAATATCTTAAACATCAGATAGTATTAGTCCACCAAAATACTGTTAGAAGCACTAGCTATGAAGCTAAAATATTTCCAAGTGGCCATTCATTCTTAAGTGAAAGAAATCTAATGTCTCATTTCCCCCCATCTAATATATGGTTTTATAGTGCCAGTAATTGAAAAAAAAATTAGAGAACTATATTGTGGCTAGGAAAACAGAAGTGAGGAATAATAACTCCTTTAAAGAACACTTTGCAATGTCTATATATAAACTACAAGATGGCCTGTTTAACTTGAGTAAAGTTGGCCCATTTCCTTTATTTTGAATGCACAGAACAAGTCACACAGGGAGACCTGTTATGAATCTTGTAGGTTACGTGTAGTCACTAGAATGGGCTGATGTATGGACAATGAAACAAATGTCATTTTCACAACATGTTACTGCCTAAGAAAATACTCAGCCAAACTGCACTAACCTTTCAGGAAAATTAAGTTGATATTCTCCTTACACATCCATATGCACTAGTCCATTTATTTGACAAAGACAGAAACTGTACTGAGCTCTCCCTGATTAAAGTTTAATTCTGGATACCTTTATTCTGCTTCCTTTCTGCATTTTAGAATACAGTTGAAACCAGGGCATTTCTGTTAATTTGGGCTTGTTTATATGCTGCTTTGCAGTTCACGAGACCTGCTTACAGGCCCCATGTGGTAAAGGCTGATCAGGTGCAGGTAGCTTCATAGGAGGATGACTGCTTTCTCCCTATTTGTTCTGAATTTTAACAGCAGTTTTTAAGAAAGCAGTTGATTAGCTTTTTCTCACTGCTTTATCAGCCTCTGAACTTGTTGATCTCACACATTATTACCAAATGCTTTACAGCATTTTCAGATGCAGTATAATCTCTTGTTAAAATCTTGCATTGTTATGTATCAGCTATGCTGGTATCAGGCCTCTTCAGATGCTAGACTGCAAATTTCCCTTTCCAGAAGAGATAGGAACTTGTTTAGATGTGGAGTGTGGAGAGGCAGTCCAGTCCCCCCTGGCCCTGTGTGTCACAAGGGAAATTTACTGCCTTTGCAGCTAAGGCATGGTGGAGAACAAGTCCAGGTTTTCCTTTCCCTCCTAACTGAAGAAGTCAGAACCCTCAGAAGAAAGGGCGAAGGGGAGTAAAGTTGACATGAGTCTAGACGGGACCAGGAGATACTATAAACCATCACACCTCCTCGCATTTTAAATAATCAAATACCTGATCACTGTCTTGGGAGAAATTATACTGATAGTCATGAAGTTATTTATTTTGTGCGTGTCAGTAAATGGGATCCACCATTTATTTATAAATCCCCATTTTACTAAAGTCTCAAGTGCTTTAATGATTTTTGTCCTAACACTCAGAAGTGGCCCATAGAACCATTTGAAGGTTGATGACATCTAAGCCACAAGTTTCTCAGGAACTGCCTGTAGAGTGGGCTCCCTGAGGGCAGGGACTTTCAGTCTTAGCTGCTGTGGTTTTCCCAAGACTTTGTATACAGCTTGACACAGAATTGATTTACAGTTCAGATGCATGGTTGATAAAGCTAATTAGCTTTTTCCAGGTGTCTTTGCGATTTCAGCCAAGATGATCCTTATCCCTGTACACCAGTGTCCTCCCATAACACCATATGGCACATACACACTGTTGGAACATTGATCTCCTGCACTAGTTTGTGGGCTTCTGAGTGAGGTCAAAGCTGTGCGGAAATCATCTTGACACCCCTGTGCCTAGGGAATGCCTGCTAAATGTGAGCTGCTTGTTGACATGAACTGATTAGAGCATATTCTCCAGTGAGAGAATTTGCTTCCTGAAATGATGAATCTAATTTCTAATGTCCAACAACATCACATATAACCGGTCAGCCCCTTAAAAGAGGTTTACCATTAAGGTCAGTGGGAAATAATTCAGTGCCATGTTTTTCTTCCGTGGACAGGGTAAAGATGGAAAACCACTTCTGCCCCAGATGCCCGAGGAATTGCTTCCAGTAAGTACTGTTTCTCTGAATCTGTCTTCTCATTTGGCTCTCACTGTTAATTCAGGGAGGAAAGAGCTTTCCACTTAATGCAGTGATCCGCACGTAAACAATGACATTTTGAAGATGAGGTTGTGCTTGTTGATACATTTCCTGCTTCTTGCAGCCCATGAATGACGACCTTCTCCTTGATGCTTTGTCTAAGGACTTCACCAGCCCCACAGATACTTCACCTCTTGTAAGTGTGAAATGTTTGGTTTTCTTTCCTTACTTTCAGAATGGCAGAAATAAATGGAAACTTAGAAACTTAGAATCTGACTTAGGAGCTGAGGAAAGAGTTATGACCTTTAACTTATAGCCATTAAAAATTTATCGTATTATGAGATATGTTTTTAATAAACACTGTTTTCAGCACTGCAACTGATTGAACCAATGAGCATGTCTTTTATCAAGTAGATCTGTGAAAAGAGAACTTAACATTGAGTTCATCCCAAATTACTTCTCAGACAACTTTACCTGTTGATAATTGTATATTTGTCATTTTCAAAATTGTCTTCCATATGAACTCCATATGGAATAGAGGAAATTCTGTTACTAGAAAGTTTGGGGAGTGTTAGGTAATAGTAAGCAGGTTTCCCTCCTGGAAGATTTTCAGGGCATTTATGTTGGCTTTTATATGCAAACATACATTGTACAGCAGAGTTCCCAAACATCACTACAGAACCTCTTTTGTGGAAGCTGGGTTATCTGTTTTCACGCTTCCTATGTGAATAACAGCATGGACAATCAATACATATCAGTTGAGAAATAGTGAGCAATAACTAGAAAAAATTATAATTCCTTCAAATAGCCTATCAGTAGCCTGAAGCACTAATCCACCAAAGAAGAAATTAATAACCAGTATGTGCTCCTTACTGCATCCCTATTAAAGCACCACACCAGGGCAGTTCAGTCACACCAGCCCAGAGCCTTCCTGTCATCCTCATCCACACAAACACATCAAGACAGAGAAAGGCGCCCAACCCAGATTTAGGGAAGACTGTAAAGTGAGCAATATCCCTGGAATGTGGTATCAGGTCCTGACAATAATGCAGAACATATGAACAAGTGGGGCTGGGGGAGGACCAATGCTTTCATTTATTCCCTTCCCCAAGTAAATTTATTTGCTCCGCCCAGAAAGGGATATAACAGTGAAATGATGAGATAAAACAACCACTTTTTTAACAAAAAAATCTTACTCTTCTGCTGGATTTTAACAATCCAGCAAGAAAGTGTGTCACTGATACAGTTAAAAAAGTATAAAAGTTTTAGTAAAAGTCAAATGATCAAAATAGAAAATTATTTGAGAATAAGCTCCAAGAACTTTGGGGGAAAAGTATCATACTGACTCATAATTAATGTTCAAATATAAAAATATAAAAGTTTAAAGGTGCTCTAATCTGAGATCCTGAATGAATTTTTATCCTGTTGGGTCACCCTGAGGATCATCTGAAAATAGCACAAATGACAATAAAATAGAACAAATTCCATTTAAAAAGAGAATTTTTAAAAAATTCCAGTAATCGTACTGAAATCAAAAGGTAAACTCAGAATACATTATTTACAAAATCAAGACAGGCCTCCCTGGTGGTTAAGACGCAACCTATGAAGTTATCCACAGTGACTGAAGCACGAATTCGATCCCTGGCCAGGGAGCTACCCACATGGCACAGCAGAGCTCTCCTGATTTCCCCGCTGCTCCCCTCAGCAGTGTATTTCAGTCAGTCTGCCTGTTCTGCTCCCCACTCTGGTGAATCCTCTTACCCCCTGCACCTCTGGGCTATACCCCAGTTCTTGTATGCATAAATAAATAAAAATCAAGACATTACAAATAAAAATCTTTGATAAACAGTGAAAGCAGTATTAATAAGTTATATTGATTGTCAAAATGTTCTTAAATAATAGAGAAAAGGGGAAATGTGATTAATCAATTGTTTATTGAATTTTAAATTTTAATATTAATTATAAAGAAGCTATTGTTTTAAATGTAAATAGTTATTGTAAAGTAACCTCTTAAAAAGAAAGTAGCAATAACTGTGTTTAGGAGATAGAAATAGCAGCCTGAGAGGCACCTGGCCAAGATTTGTTTCTTTTGAAATAACTAATACAATAAAATACCACAAAAGTCAAAGAGAAAAACATCTTACAAATAAAATATAATTAAATTTTAAAATGGCAAGTCATCAGTGTAAGAATCAACTAAATTCAAAGTTCAAAGTCAGTTTTTATGCATGTCTAAGATTTTAGAAAACACTGGCAGATACAATAGTGAAAAATTTTAGAAATAAAATGTAACTTTAAATTGAGAAAGTGATGATGATTATAAAAGAGCAACTAAATATGAAATATGGGTTTTAATTTTCTAAGAAATTTTTAAACAAAAATACATACAATTCATAGACCCAACAAAAGAAAAACTGAAGAGATTAAAACTCTGCTCAAACTTTCCTTAAAATTAACACTTGGAGGCCTCCCTGGTGGCGCAGCGGTTGAGCGCTGGGTTGCGAAGCTGCCCGCGGCCTCTGCGGCGCCGGTTCGATCCCCGGCTGCTCCCCGGCCACCGGAGGAGGATCCCACATGGTGCGTAGACCTCTCCTGCCACTCGCTGCTCCCCTCAGCAGTGTACTTCAGTCCTTCTGCCTGCTCTGCTCCCCACTCTCGCTCTGCTGAATTCTCTCACCCTCCCGCACTTCTGACTGTACCCAGTGCATGTATAAACAAAACAAACAAACAAATAAATAAATAAATAAATAATAAATAATAAAAACATGCCTCTATAAAAAAAAAAAATTAACACTTGGAAATGTTTAACACTAAATATTTCCTGTGTGACATAAGTATGTCCTGAAAAAGATGCTCTGTATAGTTGCTCCTACAACTAGTGATAGCCCTACTATTAAGATTTGATCAATATAGATTATCGACTTATGCACTTAAATCTATAGATGAAAAATTAGCAAATAGAATATAAAATTCTTAAAGTAATTGTTTGCCATTGTCTAAATATTCAATGGCAGGAAAATAATACAGTGTATCAAAATAGGATAATCAAATAATTATGTCCATGTAAAAGATACATTTCAGATTTTACATATATATTTAAATTAAAACCTTCAAGAAGTAAACAGTCTTTTATATGTTAAAGTGTATTTAATTCCAGGAATCAGATATTTTGTATTAAGCTAGAGATATTTTTCTTAAAATCAGAAAATAATGAAAAGTTCATTTTACTGTCATTTCTGCTTGATGGTATGTGGAAGAGTAATTAACAACCCATGTGAAAAAAATTACAGTCTAATTGTAGTTAACACATTTGTAGATAATGTTATATATGCTATGTATATTATTAACAGATTAGGAGATATAATTATCTAATATGATACATCAGACCTATGTAAAGAAAATTGCAATAGAAGGAATGAATAGAAAAATTAGAGCACGAAGAAATTAAAACATCTAAGAGTTTGATTAAATGTCTTAAAAGAATGACAATTCTCTCCAACCCTTTTGTTATTTTCTTTACTAAAGTTGCAATAAGGTTTTTTCTATAACTCAATAAAATTCTCCTAAAATATATCTGAAAAATTAATGCATAAAAGTACAGAAAAATACTGAAAAGCATTTCAAAAGAAAAATACTTTTCAGTATTTTGGGGGAAGACAAACTAATTCAATAAGACACCAAGGTTTAACATGCAATAATGACAAAAACCACAATTCTGATTCAGAAAGCAAAGCCATAGGTCAATGGGGAAAGAATCAAGATGTAAACATAAATAATAAATTTATCACATTTTTATAAAGAGACAAGAATTTCTAGCAACTTTTGAGAGGGACTTTTGGCAGGATATAGCTAGTACCATAATAAAGCAGTTCAGGAACTTAGAGCAACTAATTACAACAAAGAAAGCCCAAAAACCACAAATAATTGAATGTACAACAAGAAATGGGTAAACAAAGCTTGGAACTCTTAATTCATTAGATTACTTGACATTTAGAATAATAAATATGAATAAGGAATAAGAAATTGTGTAAAATACTAGTATGGAATAGGAAGTAGAATAAAAATTACTTGTAAGATAGTATCACTATCCATCTCTTGGCGCTAGAGACTAAATAATCATAAATCTAATTAAGAGTTGTATTGAGAAACGGCAGTTTTATATACAACAAATCATAAAAATCTCACTTCTTTTTGAAAAAGGAACTTGAAAACATTGAAGTTTCCGCTGCTGTTTCTGAAGTGCTTTCCAAAACTCCAGCTCCAACCACCCACTCTGCAGGAGCCCCTCGGGTAAGCAATATCTTCTATTTGTTTTTCTAACAGCAACATTAGGGGGGAAATTAGGGTACCTGCTTAAAGTGAAAATAAACCAAATTGTTAGGAAGATCAGGCACCTTCTTTTTCAAGAGAGTCATGATTAGTGATTTAAGGAGATGATAGTAAATATCCAGAATGATTAAATGAAAAAAAAGTCTGAAAATATTTTCACCACAGTTGTTTTTTAGAATTGAAAGTGCAGTGATGTGCAGATGGATATGTTCACATTGTTACATTTGAAAAAATTTTTAGTTTTCCTGGTGATTTTCTTCTTTATATTTTTCCTGACACATGCTGTAAATAATACCCACTATTTAACCTTAAGTTTATTTTATGAAATTTCCCAGTGTTTGAGTTTCTCCCCCCCAGAATTCACAAACCTACTTTGGAATAGCATTATTTTTCTACCATTCATACCAGTAAAAATTTGTCATTTTCATGTCAGCAATAGAAAAAAGCATTAGCATCAATATTGTTTTAATTATTCACATGTTCTGAGGCAGGATTGTGGGACCAAAGCTTTTCCAGATTTCCTTGATTAATTTTCTGTGAAGCACAAAATTACACATAATCAAGGAGACAAGGGCACATCAAAAGATAAAGAGATTGCCCTAAACCAGATAACCCGTCTCCTTGGATTAAAACACAAATGCTCCGTTGCTAGATGGAGATGAAGTAGCTTTGATGAAGTCAGCTCTGCTTCCTTTCCTTTTGATGTAGCATCAAAGCTGAGTTACTGCTGTAGTCTCAGATCCTGAATGAATTTTTATCCTGCTGGGTTAGCCTGAGGATCATCTGAAAATACCCAGAGGCACAGATGACAAAACCCAGATCTGGCTGTGGTAGCATGTATAGCACCACTAGCATCTGTAGTCCTGAGTGCTAATGAAGCACTTAAAACGAGTAAAATACTGTGTGTGTGTGTATGTGTGTGTATGTACACCTACAATGGTGACATTCCTGTGCAACAGAAAGGAGACACCATTAGTAACTCAGGCTAAAGTTTCTACTTCAATTCTTTATTTTTTAGCATTTAAACATCCTTGTTTGGTTGTTTTTTGTTGTTTTTGTTTTGTTTTGTTTTTGCAGTATAGGATTTCTGTTCTCAAGTGTGGTCACCATAGTTCTCCCACCACCAAAGTGCCCACAGTCCTTCCTACACTACGCACAGATCTCCTCTCCACATGTTCTCTACTCTCCCTCCCTCCCCGTCCCTTCTGTTTCAGATCTATGGTTTGCTTTCAAGGGTCAGACTTAGTTTGTCTTTGATCCTTTGTTTGGTTCCTCTGGATTCCACATGTAAGTGAAACCACCCAGTATTTATCTTCTTCCTCCTGGCTCTCTTCATTTAGAATAGTCCCTTCCAGTTCCATCTGTGTTGCTGCAAATGGCATGAGCTTATCTTTTTTGATCACTGAGTAGTATTCCTTTGTGTATATATACTGCGTTTTCTTTATCCGCTCATCTGTTTTGGAGCATTTAAGTTGTTACCATATCTTGGCTATTGTAAATAATGCTGCAGTAAACATAGGAATGCAGGTTTCATCTTAAATCAGTGTTTTTATGCTCTTTGGATAAATACTTAGCAGTGGATTTGCTGGGTCATACCCATTCAATTCTTAACCTTGATCAGATGTTCTGCCCTAATTGAGACTCTACTAAGAAGTCCACAATTTGCATTTCACAAGTATGTTTTAATATGACACCTTTTTCATCACTTTTCCTATCTAGTTTTAGTTAATATTTTATTTGAACATATCACAAAAACCTAGAATTAAAGCTTTATTTAAATGAATACACTTGAGGATCAAAGAATGAACTAAGCAATCGTAATTATACCCATTCTTTGCTGGGAACATTAGAATGTCACCAGTAGTGTCACATACACTGAAAGCATCTTAAGGCATTTTCTAACAAATGAGGCCAAGAACACCACCTTTCTAGGAGGGACCTGTGGTCCTGAAAGATGAAGACATCTGGTAGGGCTGGGGGTACAGGGGTAGACAGGCCCAGCGATGTGTGAGTGAAGGTCCCAGACAAAGACCACCAGGCAGCCGTGCCTTTCACCCACCCTGCCCAGCTCCCTGGTGAAAATCCCACAAGCTTATGGAAGTCCTAGTGTTGTGTTAGGATCACACTCCAACAAGTGATGTCATTGGACACCATTAACTAATTTAGATTTTCATTTTAGCCGAGTGACAGTAAAGCCCTCGACGATGCCTTGGATCAACTTTCTGACAGTCTAGGGCAAAGGCAGCCTGATCCAGACGACAACAAACCAATGGAGGATAAGGTCAAGGTAAAAAAAAAATTGCTATTCTTATAGCATACCCTCCTCAAAAAGTAAGGAGAAGCTCACCCTTTAGAGTAGTAAATGGTTAGCTTAAGTCTCTTTTTTCCCTACACTGCAGTCTATCTTGTATTTTATTTCCTCAGTGAGGACTGTGTTGTGCAGATTCAGGCAAAGGTCCTGTTTGTGAAACCAGATTTTGTTATGGTGGAAGAGCATAGCTCTGCTTTGTAAATTGCCTTTTCCAATGTTATCTTTCCGTGGCTTTATTTGGTATTAAAAACATAAGTATGATAAACACACATGCACTTTTTAGGCAGACTTGTAGTGGCAGAGGCCACCTAAGTGGAACAAGTCTTCCCAGCAGCCTTCATAACCAAATCTATGTACAAACTCCTAAATCAAAGAGCACTGGACCAAGCGTTCAGCACCATGCAATGGTGTGTCTGCAAGGCATAAACTGTTGACAGGCGACATTTTATACAACATGTGTAAGTACTGAACAATGTACTTAACAATCTGTTTAGCTTGGAACTAGGAAGTAACCAGCCATATCCATGTCCAGAAGAAAAGGACATTTCTAAGAATCCTTAATTTTGATCCTATCATTTTCTTAGAAATACTGATGTGAATTTAACCTATTTTTGCAAAATGGAATTATAATGATGCAGGACAATAAAATCTATGTAACTGGATTTATGACTGAACAACCCAGCCCCACCGAGGCAGAGGTGCCTGGAGGCAGGAACTGCTCACCTAACAGTCCGTGACTTCCTCGCCTGTGTCACCAGCAAGCCTCACACCCATTCAAATTTGTTACCTATTCCAGTCTCTCAAGAATTGCTTATAAATAGTCAAAGTGGCAAATGGTACCTCTAAATGCCACAGTACAATGACTTCTTTAATGAAAAGTTAGACTCAGACTCACATAAAAAGATATTTTAGCTCCTTATATGGTTTCTGAGGATAAACATTTAGTCATCTATTTCAATTTAAAATATAGGTAGAAAAAGCACCACTGTGGATTGACATAGAAGCACATGCATAGACTTACCTTTTTTCATTAAGAGTCCACTGCAGTCATTTCACTGGTCTGTGGCTTATAAAATAAAAACAGGCTATATATTCTGCTTCAGAAAAGTCCAATAAATGTAGAATGCTGCTTTTTAAATGTATTCTCCATGTGAAGGGGGAAGTGAATAGTAATTATGCTTGTTTGATGTTTATAGGAAAGAACTAAAGCTGAACATAGAGACAAGCTGGGAGAAAGAGACGACACTATCCCTCCTGAATATAGACATCTCTTGGATAATGACGACGTAAGTGAAGGGACATGTCGGGGCTGGACTAATAGTACAAAGCTTGTGAAATGCAGATCTCACTTGAATGAGGTAGGAGGTACATTTTAACAATACCATAAAAATATAATGTGATGAAGGGCTTTTTATACCTCTGAAGAGCAGGCTATTAAGAATGCTGTTTAATATTTGTTGGTGCAAATAGCATTGTAGTTTGCCATGCGGGAACTGTGGCGTAGAGTTGAACAATACTCACCACTCGTGTTTAATAATGATTCCAAGATGCGTGCACTGATGATTCTCTTTGCAAAAACGAGGCTGTTAAAATGACTCATATAATCTTGCGAGCAGAAAGAGGGAACTAGTACTAGAATTAAAAGGGACAAATAAATGTGGCACCTCCAAGACTTAGGGTTTCCCCTACTACACTTCAGCACAGTTGAGTGAAGACAAGCAAAACCATATTTCTAATCACAAGTTCTATTTCCTTATGTAAATATATGCTGGAGTAATCCCCAGCCTTCTGTCTCTGACAGGGAAGCCAAGGCTAGGTCAATCTAGTCCACCCCATCCTACTCAGCTCCTGTTGCAAATCAATTAGATGAAAAATAACCCTTTCTAGGCCTGTTCATCAAATAATGAGGAAGCCTAAATTACATCTTCTTTTTCTGTACTGATTCATTGATAGTTTTGATGATTCCCTGGTTTAAAGAGCTTCCTTGATTCCTATTATAGAAATTACTTCTTGTTTGGGGCCTCCCCTGGTGGCACAGCAGTTGAGCGCTGGGCTGCGAGGCTGCCCGCAGCCTCTGCAGAGCCGGGTTCGCTCCCTGGCTGCCGGCGACGGTCCCACAAAAAAAAAAAAATTACATCTTGTTTGTTTAGTATTCCTCAGAATAGCAATTCTGCATCCTGCTAGAATCATCCTTGCTTTGATAGCACTAACTAATCCTGCTTGTATTCTTCAGGAAATATATTTCTTAATGCCCTTGTCTTTAGACAAGAAAATGCCTGACAAGTTATTTACAACCCTGACTGAAAAAAATCTATCTGTAGATTGTTTCAGTGCCTCAAGTCTTTCCATGGTGTAATAAGCTATATAGTAAATAAGACAGAGAAACAAGGTACTTTTTGTAGCATTTTAAGTAGAATTATAACACAGGATGGCAGAAGTTCCTAAATGTTGCTGGGTTTTTTGTTTTTGTTTTTTTTTTACTTCTAGGACCAGACTTTCTTGCATTTTTCCTAAGACTTTTAAAATAGTTATCGGGAAGTTAAGCAAAGCTGGCAGAGAAGTAGTAAGGCAAATCTGTATTCCATCTTACATAAGTTACTGGATAACAGTCTATAAATTCCAACTATACCTAAATAAACCTTTACAAAAATCTGCTTACCCAGTAGTCTGCCTTGTTTTTCAGAACAAACCAGTGAAGCCACCTACAAAGAAACCCCTGGCATCAAAGGTAAACACTGTAACAGCTTGTTTCCCTAAAAAAAAAATTTTAGCTGTTTATTTTGCATTTAGAAACTTGAAATTTTATTGATTGCCCACCATGTACTTGGTAATGATGCTAGGCGCAAGTGTGTATGGGTGGATGTATTCTCTCTCTCTTTTAGTCTTCACAAGACTCCTTAAGATAGTAGGCAGTTCCATTTTCCAGAGTAGAATATCAAGGCTCAGAGAATATTGGGCGACTTGTATAAAAGAGTAGAAGAAAACAGAGCTGTCAGGATGTTCATGTTTTAACATCTCCTTTATTATATTGGGGGAAGAAAGGCTGCAAGTTGTGCTTATACACAGAGACACACATTTCATTTAAAGTGATGTGGGAAAATGTCTCCGCATTTGTGCCTCTTCATTGATGGTAGTTTGTTAATATATCAGAAACCTGAAGATGACCAAGACGCCATTAGCAGTCTTTCAGGAGATTTTGACAGCTGTCCCCCAACTACAGAAGCCTCAGAGCAAACAGCAAAGGTATTGTGGTTTTTCACATTGACTTCTTTGATTGTGCATAATTTTCACTGTGATATGAATTCAGTGGTGCCAAAAAGTTGAAAACAGAAAGAGTATTTCCACTTCTCCCACAAACACTATTATTTAGTCTGGTTCTAATTCATATATAGTACATTGCTTGACATTATTTCATAAATGTTTTCCACGTTGTTTTATAGTCCTACAGGCATCACTTTTGATTGCTACACTATTGTACAGCATCAGTGCTATGCCTGAGCTCCTTTAAAATGAAAACAGCCCCTTCTGTATGGTGCCCTGGGGTTTCCACCCATTTTCAGCCATGCCCTGTAGGTTGATTCTCCTACTTATTCCTCAGGGCCCAGTTTAAGCATCAGTTCCTTTAGCAAGACTTCTTTTATGACTTCTCCCCTCCCAGGCCACTGTCAAAGGTATCTCTCCCATGCTTCCCTGCTCTCTGGGCTGCCTATGTATCGGGCTGCCTATGTATCACACCACTGTGCTGGGCACTTTATACAGCAGCTTTGTGTCCTTTCCCTCTGTGCTCAGCATTAGTGACAAGCCTATTACACAGCTAGTGCTCAACATGTGACTAAAAAGTGAGAGAAACTGTTTCAATAAGTATATGGCATTTTACCTGTAAACCACACTCTTCCTTCGTAAATCAAATAGGAAGAAAAGTAAAATGAGTGCCCCTCATGGTTATTTTTAGAAGAATTAACATAGCACATCTATTTGCTATTATTTTGGCTGTTATGAAGTGTTTTCACTTGTTGAATTGCCACTTGTTCCTGTGTTGAGTGGTTTAATTTCTCACTCCTGGAAAATTTGTAAATAGTACCCTCTTGGTTAATGTGCTTCATTTTTCTATGTGACCTGCCATCTGTGGTGGTTTCTATTATTCTATTTCTCTTCCACAGCACTTAAAACAGGGACCTATTGTTCTGTTGGCACAGAAAAAGCCACTTCTGATAGAAACAAGCTCTGTTTTGACAAGCAAAATAAAGATCTGGGTAAATCATGAATGTGACCCATGTTTTTCTCCTACCTTAAACATTACTATATACATCACCATTGTAATGCTTAAACCCAAAGTTTGCCATTATTTAATCAAATTGGAGCTCTCCAGGCTACTAAAAAGAATAGTCTAGATTGATTTTATTGTAACCAGTTAACTAATTGCTAGATGGATTGATGATAGCAATATCCTCATTTCTTTTGCTTTAGGACAAAGATAAGAAGAATGTTTCCAGTTCCAAAGTCCCCAAGAATGGGGGTAAAGCAAAAAACTCTGCAAAGGTAAACAGTAAATATACCACAAATTAATTTAGCAATTATATATAACTATTCTTTCAGTCATTTAGTTTTGATTAGGACATTTTATTCTAAGTAGACTCCATCTTGCTAAAGAAATTCTTGTTAAGTAACTGGTACTTTAGAAATTAAATGAACTTTGATAAAATTCAAAGTTCCTGAATTCGCAAGTCTTGTTAAAGCACCACCAGAGTTCCACACTGCTCTGGAGAATGCCACACAAAATGACATAATGGACAAACTCATTGTAATTATACAAATGTGTTCAAGTTCTTCCATTACTTTAAAAGTAGTCCTCAAATTTATAAGTCTTTATGCTCTATTTCCTTCCATCCCTTTACCTCCTTTAAAAATCTAGAATTACTATTACTACCACTATTACTTGGCTTCTCCCTAAGTTCATTGGTTCTTTATCAATCCTAGTTTACTTGATCTTGAAGTTGGCTGCTTTGGGGCCTTAAAATTGAGGCTGTAATGGACTGAGACTTTGGGAAATGTTGAATTTGGTAAATATATTTTGCACCTTCACCTCTCCAAAGACCCAGAGCATTAGTTCCTACTGCACATTCCCACTTGGATAACACAGTAGAGTTTCATACACTGTATTTCATCAAATCTAAATTGCCATTAATTATAAAATAAGCCATTACTTTACCATTAAGAGAAAAAAAGTCAGCTGTTTATCATAAGAACCATAGCAAACAAATACTAAAATCAGGGGAGTATGTGGCAAAACCAGCAAATGCGACTTATATATAGAATTAGGGAAGATTTTAGAGTTTCTATGATCTAATACCAGTTTCCCCCACCATCAGAAAGTAGAGCAATTCCTATGAAACCTTTTATAAACTGAAATGGCAAAAAGGAAGCAATTACCATTAACTTGTATGGAAAACTTTTTGAGCCTTCCCAGGTTCCAAAAATAACCTACTAAATAAGATATAAAGCCTAAAATAACACTCATATAGTAAAAACAGGAATTACATGATATGTACACAGTATGTATGAAGTGGCTCAGGGGAAGGAGCTCTGGCAGTGCCACTCAGTGTGCAACGCTGCTGCAAAACATGTCAAATGCTGCTTTTGCCTTTTGTAATAAAAGGCAAATCCTCTTCAAATTAGTCATAAAGTGAAGAGGCATAAAGGGAGCTTGCAAAAAGTGGGTGTCTCTTTAAAACACTGGGGAGGGAGGACTGTTTAATACAGTATATTTCATGTTCCTCTAGAAAGTTGAACTAAGGCCAATGAGTAAGTTGTAGCGTCTGGTTTCTTAGAGTTGGGCATTAATGGAGCATAACAGTTGGGAATTTCCTATTAAAATTACTCAATTTGGTCAGGAAAGGAATGGAAGTTGGATGAGGCAGCTTCTAGGTTCCTTCTAGTTCCACTAACATAAGATTCATGGTTATTACCATGATCCCCTGATTACAATGAAAAATGAAAGGTGAAGCTTTAAAAACAGTATTATAGCTACATCAAAACTCAAATAAGATGTGACTTCCAGTTCAAGATGAATCCACCTCCTTGCATGGACACCCTAAATCTAAATATAGAATAATTTCCTCTAAAAAGATGTAGTATTGGCAAATTAAAAAAACCCACCTCAGAACAGCAGTGGAGAAACAGTCTCCTCATAAACATCACTCCCAAGCTCAGCAACCTACAGCTTAGTAGGGTACTCAAAACTTGGAGCTTCTTCCTGATGACTGAAGGATTTGAATCTACTTTGAGCACCCCAAATTTTGAGATACAAACCTATTAAATTAGCCCCCCCAAAAGAGTTAACTTTGAAAGCCAACAGGGGTCACATACTCACTCTCACCTGCCACAGAGTCAGAATCCAGCAGAAGCAACTAGATAAAGAGCATACACATTTTCTTTGACGGAAGCCTAAATGGCTTATCTTACCTAAGAGACAGACATTTAATTGAATACATATCCAGAGGGCTGCTTAAATACAAGTTCATCTGCCAAATCACTGGATATACCACATCAACAAAATGCAGGATAAAATATATTTCACTTAAAAGATGAAATGATAATCTCTATAGATGCAGAAAATTTAACAGAAGTGAAATTCCATTATGACAAACTCTCAAATTGGACTTTTCATAGTAAACTTGATGCAGTACATAAAGATGTTAATTTATGATGCATAAACTTGAAATTTTTATGTTATAGGTAATGCTACTTCAATAGTTTTATTTTAAAATAAGTCAAAGTGGGTATAGAAGGAATGTACCTCAACATGATAAAGGCCATATGTGATGTAACATTTTCATTGGTGAAAAGCTGAAGGTTTTTCATCTAAGACCAGGATGAGACATGGATGTCTACAATATGCTTTCATTCAATATAGTGTTAGAAGTCATAGCGAGAGTAACTGTTAAATAATTCATACTACCCAAAGTAATCTAATCCATACTTTCCAAAGCAATTTCTGGAGTCACTGTAGTTCCTATGAATATTCCCATGCCAATGGTATATTTGATAGAACTACTGGGTTGTCATAAAAGTCATGATGCATTTTTGCTTTAAAAACAAAACTACATCATGACTTTTATGACAACCCGGTAGAAAAGTAATTCAAGTATGTATGGAACTACAAAAATAAACCCAAATAGACAATCTTGAAAAAGAACAAAGATGGAGGTATCACCTTCTCTGACTTAAAATTATTTTACAAAGCTATAGTAATCAAAACACTATGGTAATGGCATAAAAACATACACAGATCAATGGATTAGAATTGACTCCAGAATAAATCCACTCCTATTTGGTTAAGACAAAGAGACAACCATATAAAATGGAGAAAGGATGGTGTCTTCAATAAATGCAACATGCAGATGAAGGTGTACCCTATGTTGCACCATAATATAAAAATTAGTCCATTTTGAGTTAAATGCTTAACCAATAAGCAGCTTAACAATGTTCTTGGCAATGATTTTCTGGATCTGACTTTTCAAAAGTAAAGACAACAAAAGCAAAAATAACAAATGGGACTACATTAGACTAAAATGCACAGCAGAGGAAACCAATAATGTGAAAACATAATATACCAAATGGAAGAAAATATTTGCAAACTATAACGAGGAGTTATATCCAAAGTTCATAAAGAACTCAACTCAATAAATATAATTTAAAAACGAACAGAATATATTTTTTCCAAAGACATACAAATGGCCAACAGGTACATGAAAAGATGCTTACCATCACTAATCAGGGAAATGTAAATCAAAACCATAATGACATTATCACCTCACACTTGTAAGAAAGCCTAAAATCAAAAAGACTAATTGTTGAGCATGTGGAGAAAAAGGGGACCCTTGTGCACTGTTGGCTGAACCAATTTACATTCCTACCTCTATAAAAAAGTGCAGGTTCCTAAAAATTAAATATAGAACTATGACATGACCCACTAATTCCACTTTTGGACATTTATCCAAAGAAAAGGAAAATTAACTGAAAAGGTATATGCACAACATAGTCCTTGAACACAGATGAAAAAAAATAGTGTATGTATACAACTGATTATCATCCATAAAAAAAAAAAAAAGGAAATCTTAACCATTTGCAACATGACCATTTCATGAATGGACCTCAAGGGCATTGTGCTAAGTCAGTCAAAGAAAGAATTACCATATGATCATATTTATATGTGGAATCTAAAGGCAGAACAAAAAAAAAAAACTAGCTGATGTATTGGTGGTTGCCAGAGGCAGGGGTTGGAAGTGTGAGGAATATGAGAAGGGGTCAAAAGATACATACAAATTTCCAGTTATAAAATTATCTACTTGGAAGTTGCAAAGAGCACATCTTAAAAGTTCTCATAAGAAAAAAAAATTGTGACTATGAATAGCAACAGATGTTAACTGTGGCAATCATTTCATAATAGACAAGTATCAAATCATTGCTGTACACCAGAAAATAAAATAATGGTACATGTCAATTATACTGCCATAAAAGATCATGAAATCCACAAATACAAGAAGCTGGGTTGATAATTTTATGCTGTCATACCTCAAACAGATTTAATAATTATTGACTTTAAGATATACAAAGTTCAACTCTTAAAAAAAAAAAGCCTTTTTGACCAATAGGCTTAGATGATTAGTCAGCCAATAATGCCAGTACAGAAGGCATATAAGAGCTAATTGATGATTTTGTGTTCCTTTTTAGGCAAAGGAAGAAACTTCCAAGGCAAAAACTGATGAAAAAAATACAAGCTAAAGTTTACACTACTTGGTAAGTTAGGTGTATGTTACAAAATGAAGACTTTCTACTAACCTGTGTGTTTACACATGAGAGAAACGAAGTCCACTTCTTGAGTATTTTGGTTTTTTTTTTTTTGCAATAAGCATTTTATATCAATAGTTAAATCTATGGACTAAGTACCTGAGAAACACTAAATGGGATGACTAACTGGAATATTTACAAATATTAATCTTATAATTAAGAGCTCTTTAAAATATTAGACCCAGGTCTTAAAAAAATGACCATTTGAGTCTGACTTTTTTGGACACCCAAATACTCGTGATTACAGGTGCTATGGCAAAGCAGAACTAGAGGTTACCCTTTATGTGAAATATTCTTAAAATACTGAGATTACCCTACATACTAACACATGGTGTGCTGGGGAGAGGTACTCTTATCAAACCAAGGACAAAGGAAAATAAAGCATAGGCTCTCCCCACAGTGAGGAAGATGAGCATTCCTGTAACACTTTTCATAAGCCAAAATGGCATGAAGTGTAGAAGCAATTGCCATCAGTTTACATGGAAAATGAGTGTGCCTAGACCTAAAATAACCCACCCATTCATACCAGATAACATAAAACCTGAAACAACACCTAGTAAGAGCGAGAATTATGTGATACATATACAGCCTATATGATGTAGGTCTGGGAAAGGAGCTTGCTGGCATCACTCATGCTTGAGCAGCTGCTGCAAAACAAACTGAATACTATTTAGCTTTTTGCCTTTAAAAGTAAAATTCCTCTCCATTTTCTTTCAGTTAGCAAGAACAGGCGCTAATGTAGATCGTTCAAAACATTAAAATGCCGTAACACAAACTTCCGAAAAGCAGGAAATATCTGTATTATGTTTGATTTTACTTATTGGTGACTGAAGCAGTCATGTGCCCCAGGGAATTGCAGAGCTCTGTAATAAAAGCTTGGCCCTTACTACTCACAGACAGGAGATCTTATTCTAAGATATAAAAAAGCTTATAACCATTTGGCTTACCAAAGCCTAAGAGGAATCAAAATGCCAGGTTAAATTGGGTTAAGTTCTCTACTGTGATCCCCTTTTTTTTTTTTACTATAACAATGAAGGTTTGTTGATTAGAACTGCTGCAAAGATTTCCCTCCAGATAAAAAATGCTAATCTATTCATACTTAATCCTTGTTGTCTGTTTTGTAATGCTTTTTGTAAATGATACATTTACTATGTAACAAGAGGATCTATCAATGAGTCACTGGATCTTTTTTAACTTTTCAAGGTATCTGCATATAAAATCTTCAGCTGGTGGATGGTGGCTTTTGAAGAACAAAAAGACAAAAGAACATTTTTCTGGGTGGCTTCTAGACAGTGGTGTTTGTTGAGACTTCTGACATCCTACACATTGGTTTGTTAATTCTTTTCCAGAAAAGAAAGTGAATGTCTGGTTCACCTATGCTGTCCTGAGTATTGATAAACTTTGAATTTTTTAAAATTGCCTTCAGTTGAGAGAGAAAGGAACTTTATATTTCTAAGATTATATTTGCTAAAAGTTTTACAGCAACACCAAAAAAAAACCTTTGCAATTTTTTGCACATTCTACACACAGTGCCTGTAAATCTCATGAGTATTTTCAGTTTGCACTTTTTTTGGTTAGCACTTGGAAAACAATGCTCTAAACACTTTAGTGTTCTGATTTCTCATTACACCGTCCTCTGGCATTTGAACTCTTTGGGTTAATGTTCATAAGTCAAAAAATTGTACATTGAGCACATATCTCCTCTTGGGCTGCTAATAATAAATTAATAACCTGGATAGACCAGGAAGCACTGTACTCCTGTTTCAGTTTAAACTCTTCTTTGCCAGAAGTTAGGATTTCTGTACCTTATAACCAAACATACCAAGACTTGAATCAAGTCAGCACAAGAATATGTCCCTGCCTAGCAAGTTCCAAGAAGAAATAAAACAATGTTCTTCACATAGCTTGATCTCAGTTTACTGTACTGTGCTTTTCTGCGGAGTTTGCTGAGAGCCGCTGACACACTAGCCTTGCCTGCGCAGCACCCAGCTGGGCTTTAGGAAAGTTAGGCTTACCAAATCGAATGTCTGCTTCAAGATAAGACATCTGAAATTAAAAATATGCTTCCCCTCCCCACAGCAATTTAAAAACTAGATTCTGATATCTTTCCTCTAATTTTGGTTTTTCATTCATTTCTAAATGAACTATTTGGGAATACAGTACTGCTACTGTAGACTGGGTTTAATATTTAATTTCATCCTTATTTCCTGCTTATGAATGCAGAAAGAGATCGGATACTATAAAACTGATTTGGAATTTGTTTCAGAGAGCACAGCCTTTCTTAGCTGACTGACTTCACCAATACTGTCTAATGGGGAGAGGATTAAAAACACTGATAGGCAAATTTTGTTAGCTTCTAAAATTCTCTTTAAAAACCATGCATATATTTAAAGGATTTCAGACTTCATCTACTTTAAATGCTATGTCTATCCCATCGGAGATAATTATTCCGCTCTAAATCTGGGAACTATAAGCCATTGTTCTGGTAACTAAACAGACCTTTTCAAAGTACTAGCAAGAAAAATAAAACATGACTTACCTACCTAGAATGTCCATTTGGGTAGTATAAAGTGTTTTAATTCATTTTAAAACAAAATGAAACCTTTTGACTTTGACTAGTTTTTGCAAGATGACTGCAGTATTATTCCATCATACGTCAAAGTATTTTTGAGTACGTACCAAAATCCAGTATTTGAAGAAGTGCCTGTGAAAGTAAACATTTAAAGGACTCCAAATAGGCTTTATTTGAAATGTTGCTAGTAATTAATGACTCGAGTAAACTACAGATCTAAATCAGTTCTTTTAAACTGATTTAATTAGGAGGAAATAATAACAAATATCTGCTTAGAGGTAAATAACAATTTATTACCAAAAAGGTTTCTGCACACTGTTGTATCAATATGTCTACTTAGAAATTGGACTTCTCCAAAAGCAAAGATAGGCCCCTCAGATGACCAAAACTGGATATCAGTTATTTACATGTTTCATTAATCAAGGTATAAAATATAAGTAAAAATATTTTACATGAATCTTGGCTTTGTACATTTTTTAGAAGGAAAATACCCAGGGGGTAATCAGTGATTTCTGTTTATTTCTTTTAAACCATTAAACCCTGCAATATGTATTAACATGGAATTGGATGCATTTATGTACATTCTATATTAAAACATTTTTTCATTTTGCAACATATTCAAAAAAATTCATTGAGACTCAATTCAAAAACAACTAGAATCACTATATTCACTAGAATATAAGCAAACTTTTAGTTTTATACCACATTATTCCTTATTTATAACTCTACAACAGCTTATTGGTAAAAGTGCCAATAATGAGTTACTTGAAAAATATGAACTGGGCCAAAATAAGGAGCAGGGAAAAGAAACTTTACCTACCTAAGGATCAACAGCTCTCAAGTTCAACTTCATATAAAAGGTTTCTCCTGTAGACCTGAATGCACCCTGCTTTTTCAGGAGGGACACTTACCAGTCAGTCCCTGAGAAAACAGATGACCCACTCAATTAGGATCATCTGGGGAAGGTTCTATATGGATCTTTTATAAAGGTATGAGCAGGATCTGCGGAAACCACATGTACATGCAGGAGTAGTAAGAGCCAGCTTCCCACTCACCCCTCATCCTAAGGGTATGAAAGGAGTAATTACTAGAACCCAGAGATGGAGAAGGCTATGTAGACTGTCACTGGGGGGCAGTGGGGGTGGCAGCATAGGCAACATGCCAGGGAACAAGAGAAACAGCCCCATTATGCTCTCTCACCCCAGTTCTGATCGCCTCATGCATGGTGCAAGGATGAGGAAGACAGCAAGCTGGACAGGCCTGTTCTGCCTTAGTCACTCACTGATCCAGGTGTTCATTGTTCTCTTTAGTTTTCCAAGGAGAGTGAGGTAACAGCTTATGAACAACAAACTTGTGGGGCGCCTGTAGTGTTTAGGCATGACATGTTAAGTGAGAATAGGTACAGATGGTCCTGAGTCACTTCATTAGATATAATTTTGTTATGAGTGAAAAAAAATCAATTCCCTACATAGGCCCCTGTGTGGAATTTGCACACCTTCTCCTCATTTCTGAGTGGGTGTTCTCTGGGTGTTCCAGTTTCTTCACATTATGTGAGACATGCAAATGATGTTCACTGTTGTATCTAACGTGTCCTAGTCTGAGTGTGGTTTGGGTGTGAGTGTGCCCTGTGATGGACGGGTGTCCTGGCGACATGTTTTCCATCATGCATTGAGCTGCCAGGTGATGCTCTGGCCACCACATCCTGAGTTGGAATCAACAGATTGGAAAATGAACTTTACAAATTACTGTTTAATATTAGAATTGCTTGAGTATTTACTTGGAATTCTGGTGATGTTTTTGTGATAAGAAATGTGCTATAGGAACTTTTGTTAATCATCGATTAGCCTATGGTAAAATGGTTCTAAGTTATTTCACTTTAAGGCATAGTTTCCAAAAATTTACAATGATGTTAAATGAGGACTTACTGTGCCTTACTCCCCTGCAGTGGGGAACCCACCATTTGGGCTTACATTGTAGAGCAACTGCTATAAATAAAAAACACATGGTAGTTAATAACCCATCAAAAAAAAAAATGAGCAGCCTTTTCTTAGCTATGGCCAAGGAGTTGAAGGGAGAGGAACTATCTTCAGCAGAAACTAACAGCCATCTCTAACTTGAATATTTCATATTCAACAAAATTTTGGTGATTGCAAATCACAGGAACTCACGAGAAACCAGTTGTTACAGCAATTCAAGCTTTTTGTTTTGTAGCCACATTCTAATTTTATCAAAATTCTTGTCCATCCAACGTATGTTTTCCTCAATGGTTTCAATTGTTTGCTGGACACAACGGAGCTGAGAACCATTTTCTTTCAAAGAGCTGAAGAATTCTTTTACCTTGTGAGGAAGAAAAATTTTGTGTTTTTAAAATTTTACAGGAAGCACATCTAACTTCAGTCTAGTTCAAAGAAAACTGAAGCCAAAATTCTACCATTTGTCAAAATTCGGTATAGACAGCAGCTCTGGGTGTCTGGAGACGATTATATACACATAAACTTAAGCTATAGGAACTGAGCTTATGCCTCATGATGTCAAGTTTTGTGATTGTTCTCTGCAGCTCTGTTATTTATTCACAGTTGCCAGATTCTAAAAGACTGCACTGTTTACCATTTTATAATTAAGGTTTAATTGAGTGTGTCTATTAATGTGTATTCTGTTATATATACACACAGATGCAAACTTAATTTTTTAAAACATGATAGCTAAAAAGCAGATTGAGCAGAGTATCATTTTGCCAAGCAAAATAGTTTCATCCACTTAAATGCAGTCTCTCTCCATGGCTCTGTCTTTGTTATTAGAAAAACACTGTGGGAAACAGGATTTTTAGCAAATTGTGGTGGTAATACACAAAACTTGCCAAATCTTTTATATCCTAATCCACAGTTTATGTTTTGTTTCCTCATAATAAAATCCACAGAAAGTTCCTTAGGCTTTAAAGAGATAAGAGATTCTTTGTTATCTCTTCAAAAATATTTTTTTTTTTTTGGTATTTTACTGTAGAATTTTTAATTTTATTTTTATATTCCCCATACAATTACAACCCCTTTATTTTGACCCCAAGCCCTCCTTTCCCTGCCCCCCAACCCCCATAGAGTGTGTCTGGTTCATAGTTGTTTGTTGATTTTGATATTTTCTTCCTTACAGTTATTCTTCTTCCTGGTCCCTTATTTAAGTTTTCTAGATTCCTGCTATGAGTGAGACCATCCGGTATTTTTCTTTTTCTTTCTGGCTTATTTTGCTGAGCATGATCCCTTCCAGCTCCATCCATGTTGCTGCAAATTGCATGTGTTTATCTTTTTTGAATGCTGAGTAATATTCCATGGTGTACATGTACCACATCTTCTTGATCCAGTCATCTATTTTTGGGCATTTGGTTTGTTTCCAAAGCTTAGCTATTGTAAATAGTGCTGCTATAAACATAGGGGTGCAGGTGCTCTTTGGAATTGATGTTTCTGTGTCCTTTGGGTAAATACGTAGGAGTGGAATTGCTGGATCATATGGAAGCTCTATGTTTAGTAGGTCCAGAAATCTCCACACAGCTCTCCATAGTGGTTGGACCAGTTTGCACTCCCACCAACAGTGCAGGAGAGTTCCTTTTTCTCCACAACCTCGCCAACATTTGTTGTTGCTAGTTTTTTTGATATATGCCATTCTCACTGGTGTAAGATGGTACCTCATGGTAGTTTTGATTTGCATTTCCCTGATTACAAGTGATGTTGAACATTTTTTCATATGCCTGTTGGCCATTTGCATTTCCTCTTCAGAGAAGTTTCTTTTTAGCTCTTCTGCCCATTTTTTTGACTGGATTATTTTCTTTGTTGTTGTTGAGTCTCATCAGCTCTTTGTAGATTTTTGTGATCAGTCCTTTATCATTAGTGTTGTGTGCAAAAATGTTCTCCCAGTCGGTGGGGTTTCTCTTTGTTTTTGTTATTGTCTCTTTTGCTGTGCAGAAGCTCTTTAATTTGATGTAGTCCCAGCTGTTTATCTTTGCCTTCACTATCACTGCTTTGGGTGATGTGTCTTTGAGGTGCATGTCATGTAGTGTTTTGCCTATATTTCCTTCTATGTATTCTATGGTTTCAGGTCTTATGTCTGGTTCTTTAATCCATTTTCCTCAAAATTATCTTTGCCTCTGTTTCATCCCTGGTACATGAACACCTTTAAGCACACATTGAGAAACAGGCTGGCATTCACCATTGGGTGACTGTTTGCCCTTATAGGGTCTTTTTCTCCTAAATTTTCACAACCTTAATCCATCAGTTTTTGATTTTATAGATAGGAAACTAGTCTAGGCCAAGATATTTATTCAGCGTGGATTTCCAATAGTTAGTTCCTTAAAATCCATGCCACAATATCATAGGTTTGGGAATAAGGGGGTGGGCAAGAACAGGCTTTAGAAAGATCAAATTACAATTTTAAATTATGCAGAGTTGTTTTAAAATTATCTCATTCCAACTTCTCAGTGAGCTGAAGGCATGACCACCTGCTGTAGCAACCTAGGAAACAGGATCCTTTCTTCCCTGTTCTGTTGCTACTTATAGCTCAACCTACTGTTTCATACTCTCATAACTCAAAATTAACTAGTAATTCAAAATCATGGTAGTCACTCAACAGTCCAGCCAGATCAATTATTTTACTAAATTGATCAAATTATTTAATTTAAAGGAGACTATCATGAAATTACCTCTAAAAAACAAACTTGGGAGAGCTGTAACTAAACTAGCTGCTAACCCTTGCCCTTATATTTTTCTTGACCCCCCAAACCTCCCTAGCTTCATCCACCTTGGGAAATGTAGCATTTTAATTGGACTTTTTGCTTCATGCCTCCTTAAAAACAATTTTCTCTGCAATAAGCTGGATGATACAGGGAAGAAAAAAACAGGTTTATCCTACTAACCTGTTTGACCTTGAACAAATAACTTCTCTGGGACTCAATTGAGGATGATCCTCACACTTCAGAGTATGGTGAGAATACAACTATATAATGTGGATGAAGCATAAAACCCTATGTTCAGCACACATCAGAGACTCAAGCCCATCCATTTGTGCATGAGTACACTGATTCTCATCCCTTTGCCTTAATTATTGTGCTAACATTTGATGAGGCAGTGAATCAGCAAGCATCCTACCCTACCCTCGTGGAGTTTACAGCCTGCCTGGGAGATAAGCAGTAAACTATGATTACTGCAAATCAGCTGTGAAGAAAATAAACCGGGGCCATAATAAGTGGGGACAGGGTAGCCTGCTGTAGACAGAGTGGTCTGGGAAGGACATCTCAGCTGGGATTGCTACAGTATGAAACGAACCTTTCCAGTGAGAAGTGGTGAAGAGAAATCCAGATAGAAGAAAAAGTAGAGGCATAGAGCTAGGAAAAACACCTGTGTTCAAAAGCAAGTGAGGTTGAGTGGCTGGTGTGTTGAGAATTGAACTGGACCTTGTGTGAGAATTGGCTGGAGAGATGGGCAGGGCAGGAGTCAGGTCATCCCAGTATTGTGCAAAAAGGAAAGAAAGGCTGGGAATTTATTGTAAGAGCAATAGGCAGGATTTCAAAAAGGAACCACTTATGAGCCAAATTTCAGGTTTAAATGTGGAAAATGGTTTAGTATTGGCAAGGTGGCAGAGAGGGACCAGTTAGTAGGTTATCACCATACAGACTAGGCAAGCAATAAGAAAGGCTTGGATGGGCATGGGCAGAGAAATGCATAACTGGGGGCATATGAGGGAGACAGAGCCAACAGAACTCTCATCAACTGGCTATGAGAGGAAGAGTTCAGGATGACCCTACACAATTACTGTCAATAGGATGCTGTCCATTCTGACAATACCTCAGCCTCTCATTTTCATGTCCCGTGCCCCAGGGCTTTTGCACTGGATATTTTCTCTGCACACATTTTCCTCCTAGATATCTAGGAGCAGTCCTTATCTGCTCAAGGTCTCCTAATGATCCCATAGAACACAGCGGCATCCTTTACCCAGTCACTGTCTCCTCCTTTTGCCTTATCATCCGAGCATGACACTACCCAACATAGGTTGATTTGTCTGTAACTATCTAATTTCTCTACAGAATTCAAGCTCTATTAGGGACCATCTCTATTCTATTCATCTTCGTAGCCCCAGAACCTGAAACTACGCCTGACATAGAGTTGTAACATGTCTTGAGTGCATTAATGAGAAAAAATGTTTCTCATCTACTGGCAGCCGTCTTACCTGGTCACAGCCAATGGACATGACCAGATATACCTCTGCTATAGAATACGTCCTAGGAGTTCTTGCTTGAGTTATTATGTGTAACTAGTTGACAAGCCTTGGTAAGACAATTGGAAACCAGTGAAGAACTAAGGGATATGACTACCCTTCATTCTTTTTGCATTTTCAAATGCTCTCCAGACTACACAGTAGAACTATTCCTGAAAAATTTAATATTAGAACTCTCAATTTTCATCTAAATGCAACATATTTTTTTTTCAGGCTCAAAAACTTATATTTTTTTAATTTTTAAAATTTTTTTAATTAAAATTTTATTTTTATATTCCCCTTACAATTACAACCCCCTTATTTTGACCCTAAGCCCTCCTTTCCCCGCCCCCCAACCCCCTTAGAGTGTCTCTGGTTCATAGCTGTTTGTTGATTTTGATATTTTCTTTCTTATAGTTATTCTTTTCCTGGTCCCTTATTTAAGTTTTCTAGATTCCTGCTATGAGTGAGACCATCCGGTATTTTTTTCTTTCTGGCTTATTTCGCTAAGCATGATCCCTTCCAGCACCATCCATGTTGCTGCAAATTGCATTTGTTTATCTTTTTTTGAATGCTGAGTAATATTCCATGGTGTATATGTACCACATCTTCTTGATCCAGTCATCTATTTTTGGGCATTTGGGTTGTTTCCAAAGGTTAGTTATTATAAATAGTGCTGCTATAAATATAGGGGTGCAGGTGCTCTTTGCAATTGATGTTTCTATGTCCTTTGGGTAAATACCTAGGAGTGGAATTGTTGGATCATATAGAAGCTCTATGTTTAGTAGGTCCAGAAATCTCCACACAGCTCTCCATAGTGGTTGGACCAGTTTGCACTCCCACCAGCAGTGCAGGAGAGTTCCTTTTTCTCCACAACCTCGCCAACATTTGTTGTTGCTAGATTGTTTAATATGTGCCATTCTCACTGGTTTAAGATGGTATCTCATTGTAGTTTTGATTTGCTAAATGCAACATATTTTAAAAGGCATGTGAAATTTGTTCTACAGTTGTACTATAGGAATCATTGTTTTAAAAGGGATACTGTAAAACAATGGCTTACATGTCAAAGTGCTTAGTTTAAGACTGGGAGAAGATCTGCTTTGATGGAAGGCTATATGTTTCATGGTTCCCTCTTACCACAGTAAGAATAACTCATACTGTTTTCTCATTTTTCCTTGACTGCTAGGAAGCTCTGTATTAAATTTAGAGTTTAATGGCAATAATTATCCTCAGCCTATATCCCTCATACAGTTACCTCTTTCTTTCCATTATGTAACTTTTGTTCTTTAACATTTCTTTTATAGATGATCCTTATAAGTTTCCTCAAGTTCTTTCTGAAGTAGATAAATAACAGGCTATCATGATAATATTCATTTAATAATGGAGATTGCAGACCTGCCTTCCACAATAGCTGTGTAATTACTTCAGTTGTCTGCACCTCTAATGCTCACTTGTAACATCTTAAATAGGAGCTAAATGGCTGAAGTTTTTAAAACCCTAACATTTTTAATAGCAGGAATAGTACTTAACATGTTTGAAAAGAAGCATAGTTTTCTCTAGTTCAGTTGTAACATTTTTGCTTATGTCAAACACACCATCTAACAGAATCCAAACAGAATGCCTACTAGGAGACAAAATCCACTTCTAACTCATCACAGCCTTAAAGTATTTTGTCTTACCCACATTTATTAGCTAGTGTCACTTAAGTTAGTAAAAGTTTACCTCTTCAAGTCGTGCCCTTGTGGAGAATTGATTAGTTGTTCCCATTACCATGTAGCTTATAGAAGATGAGCCAAGATCAAACCTAGAAAAAGAAGTTGCCAAAATGTATTGCCAATAATCACTGGACATTTTTTAGTGCCTCATCTATAGTAACAGTTAACTAAGAACTGGTTAGGAATGAAAAGACACGATCCCTACTCTCCAGTGGGTTAAGATCTAATGGCAAAAAGTAACACAAATCAACAGCTGAATAAAATATAAAATGCCCTAAAGAAAATGGTGAAGGTGGTAGCGCTATAGGAGCCAGATCAGGGCAGACTCAAGCATGGTGAGAAGGAAAGCTGCAAAGAGGTCAGTCCCTCTATCTCTCCACTCAAAAACCCCGTTAGTAAGTATTGTTGTATTACAAGCAACAGAGCGAAAAACACAGCGAAGCCAAGACCTTTTCCAGTCATAGTACAATTTTTGTCACTACTTACTTTTGTACAAGTTTATTCCAATTTTCCCTCAGAAACTTCCAGGCCAACGGATATCCTACTCGGTTTCTGCCAATAGTTGAAAGAATATCTGGAAACTCCTGAGTTTTTATTATATCTCCCTTAAAACTTTGATCTAGTAGCCTAAAATGATTAAGAAGAAATGTCAACTGTGACTAGGCCACACAAAAGTTATGATTTCTGTAATTTGTGAAAGAAAAGTCAATATACCAATAATAGAGACAATAAAGGAAAAGTAGGTAAACACATGATAAACACATTACAGGTATGAAATAAAAGCTAGTATCTATGTAACATTTGCCACACCCATTCCCATACAGTCTCTCATTTGCTCCTAAAAGGTATCCCTAGTCTATATTTCTAAACAGGTTATTTTAACAACACACCAATACATACTCCTTTAAATATTTTTTCTGATACCTTTTCCTTAACCTACAACACACATTAGATGTGTACCCACTTGCATGAATGTTCCCAATACAACAGGCAATTCCTGGTTAGGAGTACATAGGAAAATACAGGAGGCTCTTGGTCAGAAGAACATAAATGAGTCACTCACCATTGAAGCTTTTCTTTATCTTGGCTGATACAAAGGGCAGATTCAATTTGGTTTTTCTCGGAACTGGACAAAGATGACTGGTATTTATTAAAAAGAAATTCCCAGCCTTCAGGGTCCTGGGCTCCCACTACAAATACTGCCATGGTGACATCGTTGGGCAGGCTGTGGAAAGAACACACCCGCTGAGAGTCAGAGGGAGGAGTGCCATCTGGAGGTGTTACGGTACCAGTTATGAACTGATGAACTGCCCCATGATCAAGCAGCATGCCTGGAAATGTAAACAAAAATAACCTCTTTCCTTCAGTAATATGAAAGATTCAATAGGAAGTATCTAAAATTAGCTCTTTCATAGCTCAAAGGGTAATGTGAAATGCCACTTTTAAAAATACCTACATACTTAATATTCCTTCGTGATGCTGGGTGACTAATAGGTAGCAACTTTTCAAACCAATAGAAATAAATTCAAATTTAACTCAAAGAAGTTCCCACACAGCAGCCAAGAATCCAACAGGACCACTGTGTGAGGCATACGTGTGTATCATTGGGTGTAAATAGTTCCTGGATGATCACAGCTGGGACTACATCATATAAAAGAGCTTCTGTACAGCAAAAGAGACATTAACCAAAACAAAGAGACATCCCACTGATTGGGAGAAAATTTTCACACACAATACTACTGATAAGGGAGTGATCACAAAGATCTACAAAGAGCTGACTAGACTCAACAAAAACAAAGTAAACAATCCAGTCAAAAAATGGGCAGAAGAGCTAAAAAGATACTTGTCCAAAGAGGAAATGCAAATGGCCAACAGGCATATGAAAAAATCTTCAATATCCCTAATAATCAGGGAAATGCATATCAAAGCCACAATGAGATACCATCTTACACCAGTGAGAATGGCACAATATTTAAAAAAAAAAAAAAAACTAGCAACAACAAATGTTGGCGAGGATGTGGAGAAAAAGGAGCTCTACTACAATGCTGGTGGGAGTGCAAACTGGTCCAACCACTATGGAAAGCTGTGTGGAGGTTCCTCAAACTATTTAAAATGGAGCTTCCATATTTTCCAGCAGTTCCACTACTAGAGATCTACCCAAAGGACACAAAAACATTAATACAAAAGGACACCTGCACCCCTATGTTTATTGCAGCACTATTTATAATAAGTAAAACTTGGAAACAACCCAAATGCCCAAAAATAGATGACTGGATCAGAAGATGTGGTATATATACTCAATGAAATACTACTCAGCAATCAAAAAAGATAAACTCATGCTATTCCCAGCAACATGGATGGAACTGGAAGGGATCATGCTCAGTGAAATAAGCCAGAAAGAAAACAGAAAAGTATCGGATCAACAGGCAACAACTATAAATCAGAAACATTCTGCAGGGGAGGAGAAGGATCAAAACGGGAGGGAAAGCACCAGGGACTATGGTGGTGGTGCACTGGTGAATTGGTGGTGGGAATTTCACGGGGGCTACACCTGAGAGGAGAAAGCAAACATTGTACAAAAAATGAAGAATAATGTAAAATATATATATAATAAAAATATATATAAATAGTTCCTGGATGGGATTTAAGCCCCAAATATCAAAGAACTGAAGAGTGGCAAGAATGACTTTCCCACTAGAGGAAGATCTGCCCTGCTTAGACCAGGCTACTCTAACGCTGCACATAAGGGACTTTGTAGAAAGCAGCTGTGACTATGAGATGCATCAGCTCTGTTTCCGTCCACCATGGCTGTCTCAGTTCTGGCGAGGTTTATGTTCTTGTCTATAAAAAAAAATGGGAAATTACCTAATTCCATTCTAATTGTCAGATATTTGACTTTTGTGCATAGAAGTTTCCCTCCTAGCATCCCTCATCACTCTCTCAATGAGAAAGACATGGTTAAGACATGGTTAATCTTAAAAAGCAATACATTTCCCCAGAAATGGCAGTGGAGAGACTTGTGAGCATTTGTTTCTTCTCCCAACATTTAGCAGAAAAGATAACCTTTACATGATAAAATTAGTTGTCGGGTAAAAACAGACCTCAGATTTCCATTGGCTTCCTTCCACTTTCTGAAATAGCCTTCTGCCCTCTGCACGCAGGGCTGGTACTTGCGCACACAGGCGAGGAGGAGGAGCTGGCTCCGCAGCATTCGCTCTGAGACAGAGCCTTCATCTGTCCAAGTCTGCTTATCGATGAGGTCCCTCAGGAGGCTGATGAGGAAGGCCTGAGAGAAAGCCACTTGTCAGTTTGTCCCAGGTCACCTCACATTTACATATTCCAGTATACCCCCAGGTGACAGATTAAGCTTTAGAAAATATTAAACTCTTGATTTAACCACTATGTAATTCTATTTATATTTAATTACAAATATGACCCAAACCAAGAAATGAGGAGACAATGATTTTATTTTGGATGAACTGCCACATTTTTTAAAGATTTATTTATTTATGCATACAAGAACTGGGGTACAGGCCAGAGGTGTGGGGGGTGAGAGAATTCACCAGAGACAGAGCGGGGAACAGAACAGGCAGATCCACTGAAATACACCGCTAAAGGGAGCAGCAGGTGAGTTAGGAGAGGTCTGCTGTGCCATGTGGGTATCTCCCCGGCCTGCCGAGATCAAACCCACACTGCAGAGGCTGTGGATAGCTTCACAGTGCTGTCCTTACCCATTGCGCCACCAGGGAGGCCCCTGAACAGCCACATTTAAACTAAAAGTTGACGGCCTCCCTGGTGGCACAAGGGGTTAAGCATAGCACTGTGAAGCTATCCGCAACCTCTGCAACATGATTTCGATCCCCAGCCAGCCAGGGAGCTACCCACATGGGATGGCAGACCTCTCCTGTCTCGCCCGCTGCTCCTCTCAGCAGTATATTTTCAGTCAGTCTGCCTTTTCGGTTCCCCACTCTCTCTCTGGTGAATCTTCTCACCCCCTGCACTTCTGGCCTATAACCCAGGTCTTGTATGAATAAATAAATAAATCTTTAAAAAATAACTAAACTGAAAGTTGATAGCACTAAGTTTTAGAGCAAATTATACAATGAAATTTCATGACATTTTGCCAAAACTAAAAATATGTGGTCTCTTCTTCAAGTTCCAGGGACCTGGAAAATCTTAATAGCCACCATCATAATGCAGAAGATGAAACAGAGGATTTGTAAAAAAGGGAATAACAAATCCATGAAAATTAAGTAGACTCCAACATTGCTATGGACTTAATGCCACAGTGAAACCAAAATCTCCATTATCAAGCCAAAAACTGACTTTGTATCTTACTTTCTTTTATAGCTCTACCATTACACAGACATTTTATATATGTGTGTGTATACACACACACACACATCCACACACACCATAAAATAGAATTATTTTCTACACCAACCCAAAAGCAAACCACAGTTACATCACTACTCAGTTTATTTCAGGCTTTTACCTTGAATTGAGTTTCCACTTCATCCATATCTCTTTTCTCCATTAACTTGTACATAGGTATCAGCTCATTTAGCCCTTGGAACACAGGCATGATTTCAGTTTCATGTTTCAAGTACAGGGCTAAATCCAGGGCTTTTTCAATGGATAGCTTTCCAATGCTGGTCAAGAGATGTGATGTTTAGCAGTTGGAAAAAATCCACAAATATCAATGCTTTACTTTTAAAAGATATTTTAATAATCTCCCAGCAAAACAGCCAATCAGGTATAAATGCCCCTTGTAAATAGTGACTGTTATGCTACTATCTTTTCAGTCACACATAACATCTGGCATGTTTTATACAGTGAAGGAAGTTTTCTATAACAGAGCGAGGGCTCACTTGTAGTTAAGGCGAAATGGAAGCATGTCAGCATCTGTCCCTTAATGAAACACTGGATTATATGAACTTCCAGAATAATATGGGGGTTTTGATCAGAGGTCCTTCAGAGACTACCATTTAATCAACAGTGTGAGTACCTAAACTCCACACATCCTTGGCTCCATTTAAAAATGAAGCTGAAATAACAGTAAACCATCACTGAGGGTTAGTGTTAAAATCCTCAGTAGTGGTGTACATGCTTATATAAGAAAATGCCAAGCCCTCTAAAATTTAAGTAACACGAGGAGAGGAATAGTTACATTAGGCGAAATAGCTATCTGCATCCTCCATTGCTTTTAGTCCCCCTGGCAGGCCCAGAGTAGCCCAGTAAAAAGAACCAGAAGGAATAATTCACCATTTAGAGCAAAGGAACATGGGAAATGTGGAGAATGATAGAGTAATTTCTTCCACCTGCATGATTCCCCTTACAATTTCAATTCTGCCTGAATAATGAAGTTAAGAGTTTTAGTCTTGAGGATTATTTCCTTACTAACCATTATCATGGGGCAAAAAAATTGGATAGCATTTACTCTATCAACCACACAAAGATCATCTGACTGGGCCATATTTTATAAGCCCTACTCCATAAAGATGCTATAAAGTTCAGGTATTTCAGCTTAGAGGGGGAGAAAAATCCCTCCATTAATTTGAAGGATGTAACGCAAACAACTTAGACGGAGCCACCTGGTCGTCTAAGGAGACTTCAAGTTTGGTAAAAACCCAGCAGGGAAAACCTACCCTGTTATATATAGCAGGAAAAAAAGGCTTTAGAGAGAAGGCAAAGGACTTTCCCTAGGTGCTGATCTCCTGGTTTTCTATACTTGTGTCTCAGTCTGATCCAAGTTGTTAATAAAGATTAAAATAAAGATTCCTTCCTTCAAGTTACTCAGCAGACAGGAGGTTATTTATAAGGCTAAAAGCAACCTTGGGTTGGTAGAACAACTTAAGGGAAAACACCCTCCAACTTCCTATTAGCAATCAATCATTTCCATCTTTAGAAGAGAATTTGAACAATAACAGCTGCTTTCAGAAATAAACCAAGACTTGGAGCAGTTTATATTACCTGACAAGCTGAAATGCATTGTTAATGAGACTGGCCCGGTCATTACTGCTGATTGCTGTGTGTGTTCCTTTTAAAAGGCCAGTCAAAGAATCCCATCCATCATCCTCATAATGCACAATGTAATAGCCATTCATTCCCACATTAAATTTGATCCATTCCACCTCTTCTGGGAGGATGAGCACATCTAGAGCAAATAAAATAAATCATAGCTTCATTTCCTCTCTTGACTAAGGAAAGCTTTTCTGACCGAAGACTGGACAAAAAACTTAAGGCAAATATAATACTGAGCAATTTCAATACTAAAATGATTTTTATATTGAGCACATTTCTTTTAGAAACCAGAAAACAGGATCCCAATACACAAAAGCCAACACTAGTTTTAGTCACCAATTTTGTGAGATTTATGGTTTTATACAAAGAATGCAGCCACATTTCAGGCCAAATATACATGATAACCCTGCAATGCTAAGAAAGCAATGACAAATTTCACTAATAATCCTTCATTTTTTTAAACATTACATAATTCAAATGTTCTAATCTCTACGTGGCAAGATATGGCTACTGAATTGTACTCTGAAAACTATCTTCTTCACTAGATATTGAAAGCCAAAGATTTGCTAATGATAAAGGTTGACCTGATCGTTTTTGTTTTAACCAGATAAATAGCAATGAAACTTAATTTCTACAATAAATTACCTGTTTTGGTCTTCAGCAAAAATCTCTGGACTGAGTCTGATTTGCTGGTTATGAATGTCAGTGGAACATGCCACAGGTACCTAAGGTAAAGGAAGATGGGTTCTTCATTTATTGTGTTATCAACAGTTTTAAATCACCTATCATGCACCAGGGACTGGCTAGCTTAGGAAATGATGATAACAGATGCTATAGCCAAGAGGTCAAAACATTATCAGCCTATTTTCCGGATTTTCAGGGGGCACTGACCCATGTAGGATTGATCCTTCTTGAAATCTTTGAGAGGAGCTAGGAATTTGGGTTCACATGACCTCGACAGACTTCTCCATGACTTTAGGCCCTGTGAGGCCCTCTCTGAGCTCCAATCAGACATACCTAAGAACCGTGACAAGCAGCGATAGCACAAATCGACATGATGTGCCTCTTATATAATATACTAAAGTAAATAAATACAATGTCACTACTGTGGAATGCAAATTCCTACCAATGATGTATAGCATAACATGAAGTAGTAGCAGAAAACCCAAGTCAAAGAACAGGCTGTAAAATAAATGACCTGTTCTTTTCAAAAATAGCAAGGTAAGAAAAAGACTGAGGAAAAGTTTCCAAAAAATGAGATTGGGAGATGTGACCACTAAACTATGAACCAGAATGTCTTTCTCATTTGTTATAAAGATATAAGGATAACTGGAAAAAGTAGAATAAGGTTTATAGATAATGGTTTTGATAATTCATAACTCAGATAAATATAGTTTGGTTATTTAAGTGAATGTAAGGATTTGAGGAAAGGTTACATTGAAGTACATGGGGGTAAAGGAGCATTGTGTCTCCAACTTACTCTCAAACAGTTAAAAATGCTATATAGCAGCACAGAGAGAGAAGAACATTTTTTAATGATTGCCTTAGGTTACATTGAGAGGCTGTATTTTAGAATAGATTATATATTGATTTAGAGAAATTACATATATATGGTATACATATGTAAATCATATAGGGTATTCTTTGGAATCTTACAACTTCTCTATAAGTCTGAAATAACTTCTAAACTTTTAAAAATAGCTTTCAAAGGGGGTCAATTAAGTTGTAACACCTCATTTCTAGTGATCTTTCTGTAGCATTAACTTGACAAACAGGTTCCAGGATCTAATGATAACTTCCAAAGGAGAGAAATGAGTCTAATAATTCCCAGAAGTCACCTAAATATTTAGGTTTTTAACTCCAACCCAATGCTAGGCACTAGTTTACTTTTGTTGCAGTTGTTTAGATTGGAGCCAATTTCAAGCCATTAACAGGAAATTATTGTGCTATCAAACTATAAAACAAACATGTTAAACAATTATATATTTCAGCTTTACTGAGATGAACAAAGGTTTAAATTACCTTTGTTTTGTACCTGACCTTAGAGGAAGCATTTTCAGTTTTTCACCACTGAAATAATGTAACTATGGGTTTGTCATATATGGCCTTTATTATACTGCGGTTTCTGTTCCACCTATTCCCATTTTGAGGATTTTTTATTATAAATGAATATTGAATTTTATCAAATGCTTCTCTACATCTTTGTCATTCCTTTTGCTGATGTGGTGAATTACACTGATCAATTTTTGGATACTGAACCATCCTTAGATATCTGGAATAAATCCCACTTGGTCATGATATATGATTTTGGTTGAATTTGGTTTGCTAAGGTTTTTTGTTGAGGATTTTTACATGTATGTTCATCAGGGATATTGGTCTGTGTGTGTGTGTTGTGTGTTATCTTTGTTTGCTATTGTTATAAGTGTGATGTTGCCCTCACAAAATGTTTGAAAGCATTCCCCCTTTTCTCAGTTTTTTGGAAGAGTTTGTTTGAGAGGGATAGATATTGTCTATGAAGGTTTGGTAGAACTCACTAGTGAAACCGTCTGGTGCTAGGCTTTTGTTTTGGGGGTGGATTTTTTGATTACTGTTTCAATTTCCTTGGCTGTCTACTTTTACCACTACCAGTCAGGATAGTATTGGAGTCCTAGATAGAGCAATGAGGCAAGAGAAAAGATATAAAGGAATCTAAATTGAGATAGAGGTACTATCACTATTTTTGATGAGATAAGAGAAAACCTTAAAGATGCCACTAAAAAAAAAAACTAATTGAAATAATAAATCAGTAAAGTAGAAGGCTACAAAAATCAATTTACCAAAACCAGTGTTCCTACATACAAATAATGAGCTAGAAGAGAACTAAATCAAGAAAACAATCCTATTTACAACTGCACCAAAAAGAACTGCCTATAAGTAAAGGAGGTGAAAATCTACACAATGAAAACTTTAAGACATTGTTAAGAGAAATAAAGGAAATGGAAAGATACTCCCTGATCATGGATTGGAAGAATTATAATTGTTAAAATGGCTAGCCTAGCCATGCAGATTTAATGGGATCTCTGTAAGGGTTTCAGTGGTACCCTTCAAAGAAATATAACAAGCATTACTATAATTCCCATGTAACAAGAAAAGCCTTGAATAGCCAAATCGATGCTGAAAAAAAGAAAAATAGTGCTATCACACTCCCAGACTTTAAATTATACTACAAAGTTCAAAACAGTGAGGTACTGGAATAAAAACAGACACACAGACCAATGGAATAGAACTGAAAACCCAGAGCAACATGGCGGCGAGGAGACGCTGCGAGTAAGATCTCCCATTAAAAAAAGTTAATAGGGAGGAAAAGCGGCAGGTCCCAGTGAGAACCGGACACGGAAGATAAACGGACGACTCCAGCAAACTGCCCGAAGAAGAAAGCGGCCATAAAAGAGGACCAGAAGGGAGGGAAGCGCAGAACCCTGCTCCCCTCCCCCGCCCACAGAGGCGGCACTCTCCGACCGGCAGAGAGGAGGAAACAACAAACTAAAACGGCCAACAAGAACAAAGGACGCAGCAAGCGGGACTGGGAGTGGAAAGGAACTATTGCAGCCACCACACCCTGTGAACGGGAGCTGTGGAGAACCCCCGCAGGAGCCGCCGCGGAGGTGAGCTCCGGGCGCCATTGAAGAGAGCCCCGCCCAGGAGGAGACCAGCCCCAGCACACAGCCCCAGCCGCCCGGTAAGCCTGCGCGGAAAGCGGAGCGCTGGAAAAGCAGACGCGGAGCGGGATTGCGCGGGAGCAGCGCGGATTGCGCGGATCGGATCGCAGCTGCCCAGGTCCCCGCGCCTGCGACCTAGGCTTGCGGGGAGACGACCTAGGCTTGCGGGGAGACGCGCGGAGGCCCTCCCGGAGTGAGCAGCAACCAGGCGCCCAGGCAGGGGAGCGGGATTCAAAAGGCGCCATTCCTGCGCCACTGATCTGGGCTACAGCCCGCGTCCTGGAACTGAGGGCTTTGGAACTGAGACCCGGGGCACGAAATTAGGGGCGTGGGTTCCCCACGACGGTGGGGCACAAGGCAGACACAGCACCCCAAAGCCGTTGAGGTGTACCCTACCATCCCTGCTCTGCTCCCTGTCCCACTGGGTGGAAAATCAGCTCCCCAAGGGCTCCAGGAGAGATCTCTGGCGCCACCTAGCGACTTGAAGCCAGCACAGGCTCCTGAAGCAGCTAGTGGCCAGCTGGGGAGTTAGCCCACGCCGGGCCCCTTCCGAACAAGTAGTCTGAGCCCACAGGGAGAGCGAGCACCCAAAGCCGGGGCAGACCAAGCGCGCAGAAGAGTGTGCCTGAGACCGGACGCGCAGGGAGTGTGTCCCACAACACCATTATAGAATAGGGACATTTCTTCAGTAAAGACTACCTGCAGAAGGCTTCCTCAGGAGCCAGAGGTGAGCGGGGGAAGTTCGCCCACGCCAGAACCCCTCTGGCCTGCAGTCCAAGCCCAGAGGGGTAGCAGGAACCCACCGCCGGGGCAGACCAGGCGCACAGGGGAGTGTGTCCCCACATCGGCATTTTAGAACAGGGACCTTTCTCCAGTAAAGACTGCTTGAAACTGACAGATGACTCCTGGAGGAACCAGGGGGGAGCAGAGAAGCCCACCCAAGATGCCGGCCAGTCCCAACTACACAGTGTCCCAACGCATACGGCAAATTAGAAAACAGACAGTAGGGAGGAGGAGAACCACACGCAACCTAGCAACTCTCCAGAGAAAAAGCACACCACAAAAAGAAAACCAGCCCCCAGATGGCAACGACAGTAACTTGGAAGAACTTCTGAGCCTTCCAGAAAGAGAATTTAAAATTGCCGTGATTAAAAAACTGACAGAAGTCATAAAGGAAAACAATGATAAGGGAAAAATAATCAACGATCAGAAGAATGAAATTGAGTCCCTAAAGAGGGAAGTAAAAGAAATGCAGGAGATCAAAGAATTAATGGAAGAACTAAAGAATTCTGGGAAAAGCAATGAAAGCAGAATTGATGAAATGGAAGAACGAATAAGTACTCTTGAAGACACAGAAATAAAAAGAACCAAAACAGAAAAGGAAAGAGAAGTACGAAGGAAAAAGAATGAAGAAAGACTTCGGGAACTATCTGACTCCATGAGGAAAGGAAATATAAGAGTTATAGGAATACCAGAAGGAGAGGAGAGAGAAGTAGGAACAGAGAAAATATTCAAAGAGATAATTGAAGAGAACTTCCCAAATGTGAAGGAGGAGCTGAAAATTGATATACAAGAAGCAAGAAGAACACCAAACTTCCACGACGAAAGGAAAAATACAGCAAGACACATAATAGTAAAGCTCCCAAGAATCCAGGACAAGGAAAAAATAATGAAGCTGGCAAGAGGGAAGAAACAGATAACATTCAAAGGAAAGCCAATCAGACTGACATCAGACTTCTCCGAAGAAACACTACGGGCAAGGAGAGAGTGGAGGGACATAGTCAACAGACTCCAAGAAAACAGATGCCAACCAAGAATACTCTATCCCGCAAAGCTCTCCTTCCTCTTTGAAGAAAGAATATGGACTTTCCCAGACAAACAGAAACTCCGGAATTTCATTGCAACTAAACCCCCACTCCAAAAAATACTACAAGGAGTCCTAAAGCCAGAACCTCAGAGGGACGAATAACAATGAAAGAAGGCCAAAAAAAAAAAAGTTATTAAAGAATAAATAAATAAAATCAAAG